AAGGCTGACTCTGAAATGTGATCCAATCTGCTAGCCAAGTACTCAAACCGATCTCGATAGTCTGCCACAGTCCCTTCTTGAGTCAAGGCAAAGAATTGCTCATAGAAGTCTCCTCCCCCATCGGTTCGAAAACGCTCTAATAAGCAATCCTTGAACTCTTTCTAGCTTCGGATGGGCTCCCTCCTGTCACGCCACTGATACCATGCCAAAGCTTTCCCTTCCAGACACAGACCCGCCGCTGTCAATTTTTCATCCTCTGTCAACCCGTTGACAGCGAAGTAACGCTCCACTTTGTAGATCCAACCATGGCCATCTTCGCCCTCAAAGACGGGCATTTTCAGCTTCCTCACCCGTGGGTTTCCTCTGTTTCCCCGATACCCTCCATAACCTCCCATTCCTCGAAGGGGAAGAGTCCCCCAAGTGTCCCAATCATCCCTCCGACGATTATATTCGAATCCCTCTTCATACTCACCTCTTCTTCCTTCGAAATCATCACCTCGACGCTGAATTCCTTCAGATTGAGCACCTCAACGATGACGTTCATCCCTTCTTCCTTCAAAAACAGCCCCTCGACGCTAAATCCTTTAGAATTCAGCACCTCGGCGATGAATTTCTTCCCTTCCCCCTTCAAATTCAGCGCCTCGACACTGGATTCTTTCAAATTCAGCACCTCGGCCATTGAATTCTTCCCTCATTCCGACCAAATCAGCCTCCTGTTGGTTGTATCCCCTACTCATCTCCTCTCTAGAAAGTGGTTCTAGAGGGGGCATGTCGTTTTCCTCCTCCAGGATCTCCACCTCCGAATTTCTCCTCCCCCTCAAGGGGTTCGGATTTCCTCCCATGTCATGGCCGTCAGTAGTCTCCCTTACTTCCGATGTCGCCGGATTGGTCTTCATTTCAAGTAATTTCTTCATCATTTCTTCCAACACGGTGAACTTCCCCTCCAACCTTTCATTGTTGGATGTGATTTGATTTTGGAAATAAAAAAAATCTTCCCTCCAAATCGGATTTCAATTGTCCGATTTCGCCTTCCAAGACTTCCACCTTCTTCCCAGCCATCGTTCTTCCCAAGAATCTCAAGGATCTTATTCCGGGAACGAAGGAACTGCTGAAATTTTCAGGATTTCAGCCGCCAACGGTCCCAAAAACGACACTCTGATACCAATTTGATAGGAAATACTTGATTTCAAGTAATTCCTAACCTAACCGGAAGCGAAACAGCAGAAAATCTGCTGTTTATAGTAGAGGACAGCAGGTTTTTACAAGAAAACAGCAGGAATTCGAGAGAAAACGGAGAGAAAACTCAAGCAAAGGCTTGTATTCCACTAGTCGATGAATAAAATAGCAAGATAAAATTGATCCTCAATTCGAGAGGAGGATCGATCTCTCCCAAATCTCTAGACGCCGCTAGAGCCCAAAGAAAACCTAAATCTAAGAGATCTCAAATTTCAGCCAAATTCAAGATGATCAAACCCTCGGAAAATCAACTATTTCATCAATACAAATCAAAAGGAAATCCCTAAACAGTCCCTACATTCAAATTTTCCTCTCAAAACCCTCAAAAAAGCTTCCTAAAATGCTCCTCATGAGCGGTCGGCCCGCCCAATCTCCGCAGGAGGCAAATCAAAATGCTCCTCATGAGCGGTCGGCTGGACCGGTCTAACATAAAGCCACTCATCCACCTGAGCATCTTCATTTTTGCAACACTTAACTTAGTATTATGCTTCTCTTTTAATGGCCAATAGTCTGCACCATAAAGCATCGTAGTTCTCACTATCATCTTATAGAATTTTTCCTTAAGTTTTAAAGGGACTTTTTTATCACACAATAAGTCCGGTGCATTCCTCCAACTCAATTATCCAACTTGAATTCTACTAATAATATCCCCATCTATTTCACCATCACTCTGAACAGTAGACCTAAGATATCTAAAATGTGTACTCTTATTAATGACTTGCTTGCCCAAAGTTATAATCCCCCCACCAGATCTATTATTACTAAAATTTCGCTCCATATATTCAATTTTAAATCTACTAAAATGAAAGCTTTAGATTCAATTTCTATTGGAAGCCCATGTTCTTATTCGGGGGTTTCTATAAGTTCTTACTCAAATTTAATAGTAGATTTAATTTCACGTAAAAATGGAGATTCATATTTGAATTGCAATTTAGGTTTAGATATTATTATATATTCTATTTCAATTTTAGGTTCAATTTTGAATGATGATTATAATTCATAATTGATCTCATGCTCAAATATAATCACAATTCTCGCTGACATTCAATTCTAGGCTCAAATTTTGGCTTTTGTGCGAGTATAAGTTTAGATTCGTAGTTATATTCTAAAGTCGGTGCATATTCAAATTCAACAACATCGGATATGACCTTATATTGTAATTGTAAGTTATCTTTTCTGTTTAATATATTCTCGAAAGAATGTTTTTTTCCATAGTTTCTTTCGTTGGATCAAATTTGACCACATTTGATTTTTTTTTGTCGTTTTATGCTTGGCAAGATGAGAGAAGAGTATAAGGATATCTCCATATGAATGTTAAGTTGATTTATTTCATGCTCATTTGCTCTTGTTTTGCTTGAAATTCGTTTAATTGATTTTGAAAGGTAATCAAAATCTGTTGCCTTTGGTGATCTGTTTACTGGCTTTGATGTTGTGCTATTCATATTCATTTTGACACCATTTTTTTTAGAAGAAGGTCATGATATCTCGTTGGTGATTCTAATTTTAAATGTGGCAGTCTTAATAAAATTATAAAATGCCTTAACAATCTAATTAATGCCTTAAATAGATTTTGGTGAATTATAGTTTAGTTCAATGGTAATCTTTTTTTTTAGACCTTTAATAAAACATATAAACATTTAATTGTTATAAAATAATCTATAGACAAATGATTTTTAGTTGCATGACTCATAAAACTATCATAATATGTATGCACAATTGCACATCATATTCATCTTTCTTACAATGCTTAAATTGCTCATCCAATGTCTTTGTACTCAACAAATGAGAAATATGATTCCTTTAGCTTTTTTTTAAGGCCAGTCTACGTAGGTTTTAGTTCACTTGCAATGCTTTGCCATAACGATTGAGTGTTACCAACTAATTTATATTTAGCACATTCAAGTATTTTAAAATCAAATAGATGTGTATATTTAAAGTCATATTCCAAATTATTTATCCATTTAGAAAATTCCTCTTGGTTATACTTCCCATTAAATGTAGGTATGCAATGTTACTATTCTTGATAGTTATGACGTGTTGGTTTAGAACTATAATTTGTCCGATTATATACACACGCACACACAAACATGGATGCCTCCCTGCCCCGTCCCAACAATTATTATGTCCTAATTTTAAGTAATATAATAATTTAAACACGTTCTGACCCAAATTGGTATATTTCTTAGGGTTCAGCTTTATTAATGCAAATTTGGTATGATATGCACAATAAACAAATGAAAGGCCACAATTTACATATTATGAGCTTTCAATTTTAACAAAGCTTTGTTCCCTTTGATTAAAATTAACAAAAATGCTTATTTTATTCCAAACATGATAGTGTTGTGTGGATATGTGAACGTTGCTATGACATTTGGAGATCATGGCGAGAGTTTGAGCAGAGAGGGGTGCCCAAGACGACGATGCCACAGATCCGGAACTTGTTGGATGGAGAGGAGAGCAAATTGGGCTGCGTCAGGGGCCGGTTGTTGATTGAAGTTGAAGGGGTACAGCCCGTTAATAGATGGACCCATGAGAAGAAGGTGGTGGGTCTTCCGATCCTTTATTTCATGGCCATGAGGGGAAAAGGTAATCACGCAGTTATTATCGGAAGTTAGTTTGTGCACGGATAATAGATTAAAAGATAGATTAGGAACAAGATTGAGGTTCGATAGTTTAAGGCTACATGTGGGTGTAGGAAGAAGCCCTTTACCCGTGTTGTGGATCGGAAGTTGCTGACCGTTCCCAAGAACGACTTGACTGGATCCATTGTAGGTTTGGGATTGTTGTAAATGGCTAGGATTTGAGGTTAGGTGGGTAGAAGCACCGCTGTCAAGAAACCATTCCGACAAGTTGGATTGGGACGGTGAGGTGAATAGAGCAGCCGTGGGTTTGGTGTTGTATTGGTCGTCATGACGATGCCAACACTTGATGGCCGAGTGACGGAATTTGCCACATATTTGGCAAGTAATGGGTGGTCGGTTTGTTTTGCCTCCACGGTTTGTGTTTGCATTGTTTGGTGTTCGGCCATTGGTTCGACCATTGGTTTGTCTTATACCATGTAGAAAAAGGGAGAGAGACTTTCGGAAAAGCCAGAGAGAAGCAGGAAAGAAACTAGAGAATACTTCATTGATTTGTCTATTGGTTACAGACATATAAATAGACTAGTGAATAAAGAATGTATAGTTTGCAGCTAATGGTACAACAAGAAGCTAATCTATGGATGCCACGTGTAAAGATGGCTAACAGTTTACTCTCTTTGTTATTATTTTTTATGTTAATCTTCTTCCTTTTTAGCAGTTTCTGGTAGATCCTTTCGCATAAAAAGATGGGATTTTCCTATCACATCTATGACACTATGATGCCCCAAATTCTGTTGACAGGCATATCAATCTATAGAAATGTAAATAGAAACTAGAATCAATTGATCTAATTAACTAAGAATCAAACACAAACATTGTGTTTCCAAAAATGATTCTAGATTTCACATTATTTTTTGCAGCACAATTCATGTTGTTTCCCTTCCCCTTAGAGCACATTATTGTGATTGTCAAGAAATTTTGTCCATAGATGTGTTTGTACAAACCATACTGTATGATAATGTATTGCATGAACGCAGCAAATTTTTCTAACTTATGCTGCTTTGGTATTTGCAAGTTGATAAATGTACTTTTGGTCTTTATCTGTTCCTGACTAATCTCAATTTTCTTTATTCTTTGCAACTTGGTGCTGATGCTTTCGAAATCATTGTCATCATTCTCTGCTAGGGGGTAAGTCAAACTTTTCTAGTTACAACGTTCTTTGACAAACTGCATATGAAAACTTAACTATATTTGCATGAAGTATATATATATATATATATATATTTCAGATAGATCCAACTTGCATGCCAATTCTAACTGCAATATTTGTATTTCAGCCAATATTTCATGATGGTATGAAGGAATGGAGCTGCTGCAAGCAAAGAAGTCATGATTTCAGTTTATTTTTAGCAATTCCCGGGTAAATGAATCTTCTGAATAGGCTCAAAATACTAATTTGCCTATTGGAAGCATTTTTCTTCCAGATAGAGCTATTCAATGCCCACATTATCCAAATGTGCTTTTTGCCAAATGTTGCTCATCTGTGAATGCCATTTTCTTCGCTGTCCTACAATGCTTTCATGTTGAATTCCAGAAATTCATTGTCAGCATGTTTCATTCTTGTAATAGAATAATTTTACATTAAACCCAAAAAGTAACTTCCTATATATATATATATATATTTTAATTTTTTAGGCAACCTTTTGGTCAAAGCGGATATTTTAACCTGGTTTTAAATTATCCTCCATAGTCACCATACTCACTAATCTAATCCAGCATCCCCCATCTTACCTCGCACCCTCCCTCTCTTATCCTGAACCCTCATAAAAAAATGTAAAATAAAGAATTATTTCAGTAGAGAAGAAGTGTTTGCCGTGAATCATTATTTCTGGAAAAATGAACTCATTCGAGTATTATCAGTCTATTTAAATCCTACAAGGTGAAGTATTTTTTCTTGGTAAGCTATAATATATCATCACTTAATAATAATGGTGTCAATGTAAAATGAACGTAAAATGAATGGTCCACAATGTTTTATGGCTATATGCTTTGGTAAGTGTTATGGTGTTATACTATCAAATAGAAGGATTTAACTAGTTATAGTGTTATACTTCTGAGATTTCATAATATCTATCCCCCTGGTATAACAGATTGCTTAAACAAAACACTTGCTGGTCAAAATTTAGCACCAAATGTATCTACACATTAATTGTTTGTAGAGACAAGATTAAACTGAACATCTCATTTCTTTTCATAGATAGTGGATGAATATGTTATATATGTTTAAGCTTAGAGAAGTGTTAATGTGAGATGGTTCTGAGGTCTATATTGTTATTTATTTCCCTTGATTCAAATTGGGCAATAAATGATTAATATTTTTGCTCATTGATAGATTAGAATATTAGATATTTGGAGAGTTGTCTGCGGGATCTTTTGCCATATCCTGTTATTCATGTTGAAATTCATTTCGAACATCTTTGTTGGATACAATCTTCTACCTCAGTTTATCTTTTGTGAAGTTGTAAGACAGGCAAACATACTACAGAGAAACCAATAACCAAGGCTGTCCCTACAACTACTCAGAAAGCAACCCCAACGCCTGTTCAAAACAAAAGGACTGACGATGCTACTGCTTGTTCAAGGTGCCGCCAAGGTTTCTTTTGCTCAGATCACGGTAATAAGCTTCTTTCTGAAATCAAATAATGCTGAAGCTGTTCAGTCCTTTTGATTTTGTGCTTGTTTGGTAAAAATATTTGTAGAATTGTAGTTAAAGAAATAATTTTTTTAAAGTTGTAATATTCTAACAAGGGCCTGTTTGAGGTAATTTTTGCATAGCTTTGCTTTCTAAAAAGCTGCCTTAATTCTATTTGGCTACATCTTATTGTTGCTTTTAAAAATTTCTATAATGAAAAATTACATTTTACACAAAGATCTATTGGAATTGATAATAGTTAAACAAAATCGTTGCTTGAATTTTTCAAGATAGGAAACAATTATAACACCCTTAGCAACTTTCAAGAAATATATATTTCTCTTAACAGCTGTACAACTACTTATAAAGACAGATGTAGCCACCTCTAATGGATTATAAATCTGATTATAAAAAAGCGTATTATCATCTCAAAAATTAAAAAAAATAAAAGCAAGAAAGCAAAGTTGTGAAAAAAAAGTCTCAAATGGGAGAGATTATTCTGTGCAAGGACCGATCGGCGAGAATCATCCGGATTTGTTGCGCTTTTGCAAATACTCAGCAAATATGCAATTATGAATGCACTTTTGTGGAGTATTTGTTGCCCTTTTACAAAAGGGGCAGCAAAAGCGTAGCAAATATCCTACTAATTGAATATTTGTTGCGTTTTTGTTCTTTTTGTAAAAGCACAACAAATACTCGGTAAATGTGCATTCATAATTGCATATTTGCTGCCCTTTTGCTGAATATTTGCAAAAGCGTAGCAAAAGGTAAGTAAAAGCGCAGCAAATCTGACAGTTCTCGCTGTCCGATCTCCGCACAAAATAATTTCTTCTCAAACGTACCCTCAGCCTCTGATTTATTCTCTAAACACCCGCTTGTGGCATTTCAGGCTCAAAACCAGAGATTTCAAAACCGACTGTACCAGCCGCTGTGAAGGATGAATCAGCGAAGATCACTCCAGCTCCGGTCAAAAAAATAGTGGATATAAATGATTTACAGACCTGCAGAAACAAAGGATGCGGAAAATCCTTCAAAGAGAAAGACAACCATGAAAATGCATGCGAGTATCATCCAGGTCCTCCAGTCTTCCATGATAGAATGAGAGGGGTAAACTTTCTTCCACTTCAATCTATCTTCTCCATAAATACTCTTCCTCACTGAAGCCACTTTTCATCTCTTCTTTCTCCAGTGGAAATGCTGTGACATCTTTGTGAAGGATTTTGATGAGTTCATGGAAATCCCCCCTTGCACAAAGGGATGGCACAATGCAAATGCATAGCTGTACTGAAACTGTGAGAAGCAAAATTGCTTTCATATGCTAGACTGGAGATTTTTTCTTGAAACTGATGAGGTATTTTTGTTTGAGTGAGCTTTAACTTCTTATGAACTTGCTTTCATATGTTCTGCATCCTCTCATAATTTATTGCATATGATTTTAGAGGTTATTTGCTTGCAAGTATTTAAGTATATTTTTTTCCTATAATGTGTAAAATAAATGCAGCGGATCTTAGTTTTTTTAGGATTTTTAGGTTGGCTGTAGAATAAAAGTTGGTAAATACTTTTTTTTTGTGTTTGGTTGCAAGTGCTGAGGATCTGTGTTTATTAATGCTGTGGTTGTCAAATGTTGCCTGAAGTGGAGGAGAAATTATTTTCTGCGGTCACCTGACGATTCAAAAGTGAATCAGGATGCTCCACATCACTCAGTGCATAGCGGTAAACAGCATCGGTGCTCAGCAAAAAATGATGTGACACATTTTGATTCGCCTCTGGATGCCGCCCGGTGACCGCACAGAATAATTTCTCGAAACAGGGGCATCTAACAAGGGACTGCTTTCTTTCTAAAGCAGTTTTTTAGTAAAAAAATTATTGAATTAAAAATTTTTATATCAATTTTCTTTAGAAAATAATAAAGAATTTGCCCCCCACGAAGCCTTAGTTAAATTAGAACCCTTTGACATCAGTGTTTCTTTTCCAATACAATGCAAGGATCACTCTTGAAACTCTTAATGAAGCCTAGGTTTTTAGTAAAATAAATAATTTTATTATGAAAAAAATTTGCAAACATAACACTCGAAATTATATGATTTTTATGTTTAATATTTTAATTTTATTATTTATATATATGATATTCAAATTTTCAAATAACAAAAAAATTAACACTATAATAGAATCAGCACGTCACCATTAAAGAGGGTAGAGGAGAAGATGAGATATATAGGGTTCCCTTTGTTTGTACTATTGCTGAGGTGGGCACCGTGGGGTGATGCATATCCATGCAATGGGAAGGTCATTAGATGTATAATTTGTTGGTTAAAGAAGTTTAACAAAAAATATCTTAAAAATATAGTCTAATAATATATAAAATATATAATCACAAAATTTTCCATTATTTTTATTTTTTACATGATTTTAAAATTCGGATTGAACCGGCCAGATTGGTTCAATTGTGAACCGGTGTTATCATCACGAAAATTGTTTCTATATTAAATAGGAATGAAGTGTACTAATAATAAACATCTATTTAATTATATATATATAAGTGGCAGACAAACCTTTCTTTCTATGCTTTTGGAGCTTTGCAAAAAAGTGAGAATATTCTCTTTATGATTGATGGTGGATTTGAAAGTTGCTTAATTGTGATGAGTGACAAATAATGATGCTTGTTGATTGTAATTAATCATTAGTCCTCTATTTTAATCCATAATATCTGTTTTTTGGTATTTAATATTTTAATTTTATGCTTCCATGTTTGGGAGGCTTTGAATGAATTTGGGTATGCAGCTCACTTCGATCTATTGGTTAGTTGGGAGTTTTGATTATCAGTACTGGTGAAACCAGTCTCCCTGTTAAGGATGGAAAAAATAGAATTATAAAATGTATAATCTTTTATAGATAATTAAAAATGATTTTTTTTTTTAGAATTTGGACAATTGCATTTATTAAAGGCGATCAAAATAGTTAAAATATGTATTTTTTTTCTAAGAAGAAAAGATTTATGTTAGGATGCCAAATATTTGTAATACTTATCCACATTTTCTATCAAATTAAGGTGTTAGAAAAGCTTAGCTATTAGAAAACTTATTGTTTCCATATAGAAATTATTCCATCAAATTCATGTGCCAATAAAGCTTATTTGTTAGGGCACACAAATGCGTCATTAAGCCTATACCAACAACCACATAAGCGACACCTTTACCGCTTATAGTGCGTAATTCATTGTTTACGTGATAAATTTAATGAACATTATCTAGTTGTAAATCATCTTAGAAAATATGGCTCTTTTATTCATGCAATATAATTATATTTTAATTTGATAATTTAGTTACACCGCTACTACATTATTACTATTGTCATTAATCAATAAAATAATAGTTGCCAAAAGTTGTCCCAAACGAAGCAGTTATATTCTTAATGCTTATTTAAGCAACTTTCTGACATAAAAATTTTTGAAAGCAGCACAAAAATAATGAACAGAAGATGTCCCAAATGAAGCCTTAAAATGACATGAATTACACCAACTCATAAGCTAGCTATAGCATTCTAGTATTGGATGCTTATCATGAATTAATAATCATATGCCAATGAAAAGATCTAAGTTTCAGACTTAATTCGCAAATCCACAGATCATATGCCAATGAAAAGATGTCCCAATGAGTTATTAACTTTTATTTCAAACACTGAATAATAATAATTCTAAAATAAATATATTCAATCATAATAGAGATAATCATACAAACTTAAATAGGCAAAATCATAATAATGAGAAATTTCTTAAGAACTCTTAAATCACACAAGAATGAGAAATTTCACAGACATACTGAAAAACACAAATACAAAGAGGGAGGGAGGTCAGGTAATTTGCAGAGTTGAAGAACACAAGTAATGGAAAGTTGTTTGAAAGAAGAAAGGAAATGAAGTCAAGGAGGAATTTTTCAAAGGTCTCCACTTCTTAATGTCTTCTGGGATAGTTCAGGTTCTGACAATTTCGAATTGAAATGTTGCAATAGTTGCTAATACCTTGTAGCCAGTTACAATCTTTCCACCCGATGTTATTTATCTCCAATTTCTCGAGCTTAGGAGGACAAGAGGGTAATTCCAGCAAATTTGGGCAATCTTCTAGGCACAACTTAGTCAAGCAAGGAAAGAGGCATTCATATGCTGCTGCTGTTGCAATAAACCAATCCTCCATTGCTTTCAATTGATGAATATGTAGCACCTCTAGTGATGGAAAGACACGAATCTTATCATTCTCATGAAATTTGTAATCAAAACCTTTTACTTCTGGCATGTCATGAAGGTAAAGAGATTTGAGAAAGGGAAGCTGCCAAAAGGGAGGAAGAGTTTTCCATGCTGAGCAATCTTCCAATCGGATGTATTCTAGATTGGAGATTAAATGGACATTGTTCATCCATATTGCAGACCTGGCACCCTTGAATGAATTTATCTTCAGTTTCTTTAGACAACTATGTGGTTGAAGATTGTCAAGCACATTCTCATGATAATGATCTATAAGTTCCAAGCTACCCCATTCTAAGGACAAATCTGTGAGGTTCCTCTTATCGCATAATTTGGCCTTGCAAGCATCTTTGGCATCCTCCACATTTTCAGGAAAATAGATCACTAATTTGCGAAGCTCATTCATATGCTCTAGCTCCTCAATTCTATAACCAGCCAAATTTTGAACATAAAGCCCATCTAGCTCTTGAAGAGAATTTAGCTTCCCAATCTCATACATCCCAGGACTGGAAAGTTCCAGATAATGCAGATTACGAAGGTTATTTAACTCACTTGGTAAGAAATCATCATCATCCGAAAATTTACGATCACGATCATAAATCAAGAATTGTAAGTGATAAAGATTACAGACAGATCTTGGTAGTGGAACCATGAGAGCTTTAACAAAATTCAGGTATCGAAGATGTGTTAAATATCCAATCTCTTCTGGCATTTCTTCTAGTGGAGAATGTATGCACATTAGGCGTAAACTTTTCAATGTTTTGAAAATTTCTGTAAGTTCGTCAAAAATAGAGACCATCCAAATATAATTCACGATAAGAGAACGCAATTTCTTAAATTTCTCCATATTTCTGAACACTTCAATATTTTTAGTATCAACATATAAGTGTCTAACAGTCTCAGGATTTTTTATAAATAACTCTTCATCACCTATAATGCTGAAGTATTCTTGTCCCGAAACAAATTGCACCATTTCATGTAGTAAATCATGCAACTTGTAAAATGTTCTATGTTTATTCTGAAATTTATCAAATAAAGACTTTTTGACCAAAACATTGAAGTACCTCTCTCCAGCATCCTTCGTAGTCTCACCTCCAATGTTAGATGGTTGAATGAAACCCAATGCAATCCACATTCGAACTAAATCGTCTTTGTCAAACTCATGATCTTGTGGGAATATGGAACAAAATGAGAGACAATTTTGTAGAACTTTTGGGAGGAATATATAGCTCAGTTTTAAAACGGAGAAGATATCATTCTGACTTCCAATATCATGGTTTAAAACTCTTATCCAATGACTTTCATCCAAATGAGAATTGAGAACTCCTCCTATGACTCTTGCAGCCAATGGAGATCCTGAAAGTTTTTTAACTATCTTTCTAGTAGTTGGCAATAAATTTTGATGAGCATTAAAAGTCTCTACATTGACAAATGCATATCTGAGGAGGAGGAGCAAACACTCCTCATCCTTCAGGCCATCTAATCTCAATATTTCATTCTTCTTTTTCATAACATTTGAAATCATTACTGCAACAGATTCCATCCGAGTTGTCAGCAAAATCTTACTTCCCAATTTTCCAGAAGCCAAAGGGGCAAGCACATTCTCCCATTTGTTTTTATCTTGCTCCTTATCATCATTCCAAATATCATCCAACACAAGTAAGAACTTCTTGGAGTTTACCATAGACTTGAGACTTTTTTGAAGTGCATCAAGTGTCTCCAACTGAGTCCTCTCGTTTTTAAGGGATTCCAACATATTTGCAATGACTCGATTCACATCAAAGTTGTTGGAAACACAAATCCACATTTTAAGATCAAATTCCTTTGTCATTTCATCTTTATAAACATGTTGCAAGAGGGTTGTCTTCCCCATACCACCTTGACCCACTATAGATAGCAGAGAAATGTTACTGTACAGAGTAGTTTGATATTCATTTGATGGGTTCCTCAGCCACTTCATGACAAAGTCCTTGTCCTTGCCTCGACCGATGAGATCGTTTTTAGGCAAGGATCCTGTTTCACGCGCTCTGTACATCTCAAGCTGCTGCTCCTGATGCTCCTGCTTTGCATCTTTTACAAGATGAAGGAAAGTAGCAACACCAGCTGAAACTTTATCGAGTTTCTGCACAACCTTCTCTAACCTCTTCAAGTTGGGATCGATTTTGAGAGCACGTTTGGCAATTTGGACAAGCCGTTTATTTATGGATTTCATGATAGAACGCACCTTTCTCTGCTTCTTGTCTTTAGTTAGCTGTTTTTCAAGCTTCATGTACTCGAGATCATCCAACACATCATCCGCCTCTTCGATAGCATCTCGTAGCTGCCATAGCCATTCGTTGAGAGCAGGATTTCTGTCTCTGATCTGCTCTTGGCTGGAAGCAAAGTCCACGACAGCTTGGATCTTGGGGTGGTTCTCTCGCAGCCTTTCGAGCTCCTCCTTCATGCCTGTCTGCCATCTGACTTGATCTCCCAGGTACTGAAAGCCAGTGTTGATGAGCTTCTCCATGATTGGAGCAACAAACCATTCTTCCATGGCACCGGTTAAGGGAGATCAGAACAGCTCAACAGTGAAGAGAGAGTGAGAGCAGGAAGTGGATGGTGTGGTTCCCTTTGTTGGTACTATTGCTGTACTAAAAAAATAAAATATGTACTAAAAAAATTATACTTTAAGCAGCAAAAATTGTCCCAAATAAAATCTTAAATTTCATTTGGGATGATTTTTTTATTGCTTTTTAAAACAGTTTTTCAGTTGTACTAAAAAATTGCTTTAAAAAACAATAAAAAAGCTGACATAAACGAAGTCTTAGTATTAAATTTTTTTAGAAGTGTTGAAAAAATAGAAGCCAAATAAAATTTATAAATATATATTTATAATTTAAAAATAAAATAACAAGAAGTAATTAATTGTTAGTCCTCTATTGTATCCCATAAAATTTAGGTTTTTAATATTTTATTTTTATTCTTCCATGTTTGGCAGGCTTTGAATGGATTTGGGTACATAGCTCATTTTGGCTTTTGGGTGCTTTGGCTATCAATAGGGGTGAAACCAGTCTCTTTTTTTGAGGGTGAACAAAATAGAATTATGAAATGCATATTCCTTTAAGTTAATGTTGGTAATTGTCACACTACCAAAAAATTGAAGTTTTCGCAGCCTTTAATTGTAGCGGTTGGAAAATCGGTGCTATAGACTGGTATAGGCAGTGATTTTAATCGATGTTAAGCTTTTGTTATTACCGCGGATTTAACCGTCGCTAAAATCGGCATTATATTCCTTCACCATCTGCCCTAACTGAGTCATTCGATTGCGCGCGAGTGCTCTTCTCGGCATGATTCCAAACTTCATTCACGCTGCCAACTACACACATAACATTTATTCTCTATATACATCATTCCACTCCTCCATACTAGCAGCCACTCACATTGCCTTGCTCCTTCATAGCAACCTATTTTCTTATTACCCTTAATTATTATTATTAACTACTATATTATTAAGTAGTAGTATTAGTTAATATTATAAATTAGTATTGATGTACCATCCAAAAATATTCTTGATCAGGCATGAATCTCGAGGCAAAATCAAGTTGGAAATTTTCAAAATTAAATTTGGGATCATTCAAATTTCAGAGCAACCCTACGTGGAAGTCAATTTGGTGTTGTAATTCTCACAGCGGTGGAAGCGTAGAGGGCAGAGTGTGAGCCAACACTTCTTTAAATTGTTTTATGAGCTCTTAAACTTCAACATTCAGCTCAAGGGGTTGCTTCCTTGTAACTTGTTCCTGAACTAGTAGTGCAAATATTAAGGAATGTTGTTTCCAAGAGGATAAAAGAGTATTATCAGTGATAATGTGCATGGTTGTCTTAGTCTTAAGTTTCTTGGCTTGGTTGTCAGCTAACTATGAAATCAATTTCAACTGCTTGCTCTTCAATTCAAATGAACAAGTGTTAGCTCTCCTGTCATAAGTCACTCCCACATAAAATTGCTAAGGCTGACCCAAAATCAGATCGCATACATTCATGTCTAGCATGTCACAAAGTAATTCACAAGTGTAGTGCTTGCCTATGGAGAATGCAACTCTACACATGTCAGACATCACAGTGTCCTTTCCCTTCTTTACCCAACTTATTTTGTAGGGCTGGGGATGTTTGGTTGTTTTGAGGTGGAGGGCTTGTACAACTGCACATGAGATTATATTTTAAGAACTTCCATTATCTATAAGCAAGTCACAAACCTTGCTATTAATGGTGCACCAGATCTAAAAAATGGCATAGCGTTGAGAGCTATTGGGCATTCTGGTGCTAGTAATAATTTTTCCAAGATACAGACAAATGGGTAACCCCTATCATCTTCAATATCTTCAACATCCAAATTCTCCTCCTTGTTTCCACTTTCTTTATTTCCTTCTGCATCTAACAATTGTAATTGTTGTCGATTTGGACAAACATTGGATTTATGCCTCACTTGGAAATACCGAAAACACTTGATAACTTGCTGCCTGCCATAAGAGTTCTCTTTAGTAGGTGCATTAGTATTGAGCTGCAATCCGAGCTCCGCAGCTGATCTGGCAATACTAATGGGTGGATTAACTTTAGATGGCACCTAAATTTTCTTGGTGGTTAGAGCAAGTTGTCTAGCAACATCTGTGCTCGACGCATGAAGAGGTCACTTGAAAGGATGGTTGTGAAAGTGCTAGTCCAACTATATCTCCACCTTAAGTGACAAGTTCATGGCCTCCAATAATGACCAAACCAAATTCACCTCAAGCTTGTCTCAAATATCGTCATTCAGAACCCCAACAAATCGAGCTGTCAATTGGTTGGTTGTTTCGTTAAGATCATTCTTGACACAAAGTCTATAGACCTCCTATGTATACTCGCTCGCAGAGCAACCACCCTGAGTGCAGTGTTGGTATTTCATGTAAAGCGATCGTTCGTAATTGGTTGGGAGGAAATGTGTCCGCAACAACTGTTTCATACAAGCCCAATTGCGCACTCCGCCCCGACCTTCCCTTTTTTTGGATTGCGTCAAATACAACCACCACAAACTCATGCCACCCTGCAGTCTGCACGCAACATACTTGACTTGTTTCTCAAGCTCAGTCTCCATATACTCAAAGAAGTTCTCCACGGCCCTCTCCCAATATTGATAGTCCTCAATGCGTAATCGTCCTTCGAAGAAGGGTATGTTGAGCTTTGCTCGAAACTCACTACGATGTTGATCATGACCCATTGGTTGCCGATATTGCAGTGCAACATTGACCCTATCAGACTCATGAAAAACTTTTGAGATGTAGTTCCCCCCCCCCCCCCCGTGTTCCCCCCCCCCCCCCCCTATCTTCTTTTTAGTCGGACAGTTCCTGGATAATCAGGACTCATCTTCATTCATGAAACCCACGACCTCCATGCCTAATCGGTGGTGTAGTTAGTCGCATTGGCCTGAAAACATTGTCTCTGGTTATAGCTCCAATTACGAACTCCCGCCGTAGCTCCGCCTCCAGGCAATTAAAATTCAAGGACATCTCATCCACCCACTTCACAACTTCAACATTTGCTACCCATAGGGCCTCCAAGCTATGATCCTCATCACTTGTCACACGTTTGCTGCTCTCCGCCATCTCTCCAAGCCGCAGGCTCTAATACCAGCTATGGTGTGGTATGAAATGGAAGAAACAGGGTAGAGCAAAAACTCAAAACATATAACCAAAAGTTTACTCTAATATGATAATATTCAAAAGAAGCTGTCTCCTCTCCCATCTGAAGGAGGATAAAAACTTAGTGTCATGAAGTCTTTTATACTGAAAATGGCTAAAAGTCAATCCAAACTCTCCCAAATAAACTCAATTTGAGTGTAATTAGTCAATGACGAGCTAGATTCGGTCTAATCCCCTAATTAATAAGAAATTAAGGTGTCATTACTTCATTGAAGATCACCAATGACTCCAACTTCCATTGTTGTATGGCTCTCCAAAGCACAACACTCTGTCTACTAATAAATATTAAAAAATATAATGATAAATTTTTTATTTTTACTTTTTATGGATAATAATTTCTTCTCCCACAAAAAATATACTAAATGGCAACCATGTAAATATAGTAAACGTGGAGCCATTAGAAGGCCTCCGCGCACTCCCACCGTTCCACGCTTCATAATAGCCGTTCAAAGCAGGCTTTTTGTCTTCGCTTCGCCGCTGACGAAAATAACTAAAAAAATTGTTGGCCACAAAGCCCGCAATATGAAAAACGGCCTGTCAAGCCCATCTGGCTATGAATGTGGCCGTCCAGGTGCCATCAAGCAAGTGGGGCCGAGAAGCGTCTCAGTGCGCCAGAAGCTCCCACGTGGCGCCTAATATTTGTATTTTTTTAAAATGGTTTACTAATGTTACTAATTTTTTATAACCCGTTTAATAATTTTTCCTTATATATATTCTTTCTCATGGGTATAATCTTCAAGTATTACAGTGATGAGGATGCTCTGGTGGATAGATGGCTACACTCTTAGAAAAAAAAGGGTGAAATTTGTATATATATGAAAAGGTTGGAGTTGCTTGACAAATAAGATTATATAGAGGTCTTACATGATTCTGCCTTATGATGACTTGGTTAGAAGAGTAGATGTATTAGATTTTGACATATATTAAGAAAGGTAGAGGTAGACCTAAAAAAAACTTAGTTAGAAAAAACTAGAAAAGACATTTTTTTATATTTAAATGAGAATTTTAATCTTAACATGATACAATGAAGACAGATGATTCATATAGTTAGACCACAAGTAGTTGGATAGATATTTGTTGTTGTTGTTGTTGTGGCGGATTTAATCTTTTTATTTGTTATCAAAAACCTAAAATTTTATAGTAAATATGTAATAAAAAATGTTAATCAAAATGGGTTAACTGATTAAATTCGGGTCATGCGAGTTACTAACAGGTTAGGTTCGGGTTGGTCTTTTTGATTCGTTTATTAAACAAGTCGAGTTCAAATTGACTGAATTTAGGTCGGATTAATTTTGAATTAGACCCGAACCTCACCCATCAACCTTTTTGACACCTTTGTTGATATCAATTAATTAGATCTTGTATTAAAATTAATGTATTTTATAATATCATAAATAACTCTAGTCTTTATGAAAATATTATCAAATAGAGTAGAGCATAAACTAATTCTCAAATTGGACGGACTCAATTTAAAAATTAAATTTATTGGAAATTAATATTAACTCTTAATATATATATATATATTAGGGCAGGTGTCAAGGAGCGCGCAATGGCATTGAGCGACTTGCATGGCAACCACATCGTCGGATGTCTTCCACGTGTGAACTGTGTCTTGGTATTTTAGCGCCTTCAATGGAAGGGCGCCGTATAGGACGAATTCGATTCGAAGATCACAGGATGGTTGGTGCGGAAGTTCACGGGAACCCTAATGGGGTTTCTAATGGAAGACATGCGCTCACTTCATCGTCTTCAAGGTCGTCGTCGTCGTCTTCTTCTTCTTGCTTGTCACTGTCTCCGGTTTCTGAGAACGGCGGGGAGTGTGGGTTGGATGGGATGGAGCTCGAGGCTGCGCGGGCGCTCGCTTGTATCGCGAGGACGGCGGTGCGGGAATGTGGTGGGAGGAGGTTGAAACGATTCAAGAATCGATCGCAGGTTAGGGATTGGGAGAATTGTAACCAAGACTGGAATTTGGATTCCGTTCCTGAGGTAGTTGGCTGCTTCATACACTTCGTTGTTTATGTGGTTGTAAACTATTTTAATTTCTTTGCCTATTTGTTTGTGCTCTGTTCTTAATAGGAAGAAGAATGGATTAGGGGAATTGTAGATTGTGTGATGAGAGATTGATTTTAGCGACTTTGTTGGTTTTGCACATTATAGATTCAAGCGATTAATTAATTTTTTTCGTTAATTTGTCGCATTTCTTATGATTTCACTTCTTATTATCAAACGGTTATTCTTCGAGCTTGATTTTTTTTTTTTTTAATCCTGATTCGTTTGCCTATTTGTTAGGTTCTGTTTTTTAGCAAAGGGATTTAGGATTGGGAAAAATTAGATATTGTATAAAAGAGATATTTGTTTTACCGTCGCCAGGTTCATCCGTATTGATTTTCCTTCTTTAGTTATTAGATACATGCCATACGAGATGTTTTGTTGAAGTTGCCTGAAATTTCGTGGACTCTATTAGCAAAGTTTTAAGTTAAAAAATGATTTTTTTTTTACTCTTTATGTTTTGGAATAGTCTATATGCTTACTACTTGATTTAATAGCCCAGAAAATGTGTGAGTTTAATTATGTACCTCATTTCAGTTTGAAGATAGCTTCTGGAGGAAATCATGCACGGGAAATATATGTTAGTTTTAAGCTGTGATTTTTATGGACTTAAAACCTCACCTGACGAGTCTGTTTCAATACAAATTTCTTTATCTAACCTCTTCCCATGTCAGAAGAAAAATTATCGAAGGAAAATGGGGTTTATCCTTCTTAAAGATGATTAGGATGATAAACTATCGTTTGTGGATATCATATTTGTTTGCTTGGTGAACTAGCTTTAAATTTGAAGGGTTTATAGAGAAGAGTGTTGCACTCAAAGGTTGGGCAGTCTTATTTGTTTTTGGTAAGGAGGACTTATGTTTTTTGATCGAGGGGAAAATATTTGATAACAACCCCCATTAAGACCATAAATAGTACTCAATATTTGATTAAGGGGCTGTTTGTTAGCACCCAGTATTTGATTAATTGATTTAAGTAGGACTTCCTAAATCCTCTAAATCCTGAAAATTGTTTGGTAATATTCATGATAAATCTTATTAAATCTCGTGTGACTGTTTGTCTATAAAGATGATTTAACGAGCGGACTGTTCTTCTCGAGCCAATGGATTTCGTAAATCCGGCAAAAGATAGGATTTCAGAAATCCGAGATTTAGCACGAAAAGACGGAATTTTCCGTCTATGGTGGCTTTCATTGGCCATGAGATTTGATTTTGCATTTTAGGCCTTTTGGCTTGATTTCGCTCAAATCCGCTTGAAATCCAGCCTAAATCCAGCCACCAAACAGCCCCTAAGAGTTAGAGGGTGTTTAGCCTTAATATCTCTTTTATAGAGGATACATCTAGCAGTGGTTAGCATTTATTGCCATTACTTGCAGAAAAAAAAATGATAGAAACAAAAATTTCATTTTATGATAGCGATCATTTGGCATTCATTTTGCATTAAAAATCCAATGGAAAAGATTTGTTAACCAAGCTACTATAACATATCTCATAACCATCCAAATTTTAACAAATATCTCATATGTTCCTCAATATCACCTTTGTGCATCTTCATAATGATTAACTTCACTTCATTTTTTAGGGTCATTCCATGATAAATTTTAATTTTTTGTTCCTCATGCTTGTCCAAGATAGTTTCTTCTTTGAAACTTTCATTTCATGAAATTTTTATAGAGCATTTTTATCTTTCTTGATGTTTGCATCATTAATTAGTTGTGTGAAGGCTGGAGATCTCTTCTTTAATCATGGCTATTTTATCCAATTTTCTCCTTCCTTAATATTTATCTTATATCATAAATCATAAAAAATAGCAATTTAAAAAAAAGTCATTTTTTGCTTAATAAAGTCATTACAAGACTTTTAATCTTCTTTAAATTATTATAAATCTCATTAGTATTAAGTTTTTTCACTTATTAAAACAATAATTTTTTCGTATTTTGTACCTCCTCACTCCGCTACCTAAGGCTTATTAATTTGACTCAATTTAATTATTACCATTTTCCTTTCAATGTTACATATCTTTAAAGATTAATAATATCTCATTTTCTAAATTCCACCCCTTATACTAAAGCAATTAGTTTTCTTTTGTCTATTTACAATAAGAGCATGCTAATTTGATTTCAAAATTTAAATGTTAATATCCTTAATGATAGTTTTTTTCCCATTTCCTTTAATCATCTTCACCTGACTATGTACCCAAAATAGTTCCTGCCCGTTCTTCCATGTAGAATATGTTACTTGAGCTTGATTATCTTCAGGATAACAAGACTATCAATGTCACCATGGAGAAGAAAATAAAGCTTGAACAGATCTCTGAAATGCTACCACCCAGCAGCAATTGCTCAGCAAATTCTGTGTCATGTTCAGGAAGTAAGACAAGGCTAAATCTGACTGAGGTAACCAAATGTTAAACCTCGCTTAAATTCTAGATAGAACTTTATTGCATATTGAAATATCTCCATAGGCTGAAAGGGAAGCAAGGAGAATGCGCCGGGTGCTAGCGAATAGAGAGTCCGCTCGACAAACAATTCGACGAAGACAGGTATTCTTCGTTTATCCTATTACATTGGGCCATTTCGCATCAAACTGGAGGTCTCTCAATTAAATCGATCATTGATTATTAGTTTTTTCTGCATTTTCTAACATGAGATGTTTTTGTTTGATCAGGCTCTTCGAGATGGTTTGACAAAGAAAGTGTCTGATCTCTCACTTGACAATCAGAACATGAAAATGGTAATTTTTGTTATTGAATTGGCATTCGAAATACTACAAGAATTCAGATTAGCCTTCTCTTATTCTTGATAATATCTTTGCAACCAGGAAAAGGGCCAAATTACCAAAGAGTACATGTTGCTCAGAAACAAAAACAAACAATTAAAAAAACAGGTAGAAGAAGAAAACATACAATGATGATTCTTGCAATTGCATCTTGAAAGTTAGATAAATTTTATGAGTTTTTTTTTTTGAATTAATTGCAGCTGGCCATGGCTATTGCATGCAACATCATGAGTGCCGAATCAACTTCGCCGCCACCTTTTATACCTGTTATCTGTCCTCCATGGCCTGTAATAGCTGCACATCCCCGACCTTGCTACGATGAAAATGGTTTTCATAAAGCCTCTGAATCTCAGACAACACCAAGCTCTTGTTTCTGTTCTTTGCTTGATCAAATCTCTGTTGCCCATCATTCTATTTCTGGCAAATGGAAAGCGAAAGAGACTGATTTTGAAGAGAAACCAGCAATTCAAGAGCAAAACCCGAGAGATAACTCTGCAACACCTGCGCTAGCTCCTTTGAAAGATGAAACCATGAAAGTTCACAAATCTCACAAGTTAGATATAGATCTTAACTCTAGGAGTGTGATGCCTGAGCCTTCTCTTGATGCAGAACATTCAAGTGTCAGTGACGAACCAGTTCGAGTGTTTGCAGAAAAATCTGTTAAATTTGTTGATGCGAGTGCAGCATCTTCAGCCAGAAGGAGAAGGAAAGAGATCCTGAAGCTAAAACATCTATGTGGAAGTCCAATCGTCTTGCATATGTGACTTCTGAAGGTTTGTTGTTCATGATAGTGTAAATGGCTACTAGTTTTGTACATTACCAAGCACCCAATTTTCTAATAGATATTGCTTTAGTAAATCTACGGCATGTATATCTGGGATAAACTCTTTTATATGCCACACTTTCTATAGAGTTTTCTCTCAAAATACTTTAATGGCAGTCGCATATATGTATTTTTAGTGAATTATAGTATTAGAACTGTTCTTAGTACTTTTTTGCTTTGTCAAAAATATTAAAGTGTGCAGTAAATTCCTTATATTTTGTTACTTCTCTGTACTGAAGTGGAGCCTATCCAAGCAATAGAATTTACAAGTTATATAATTCAATCATTACTCATTAAATAGCTTTTATGTATAAGGCTCCAATGCTCACAATTTCATAATCATAGAGCATACTAAGCAAGCAAACAACCAATCTTCTAGTAGAAAATAATGCAACAAATTTATAAAAAAAAAGGAGCATTAATCTTAATCATAATTTACAATCTTTAACTAAAATCTAAAACAAGATGTAAATGCATTAAAGATCAAACTAAGGCTTTGTTTGAGGCAGCTTTTTTATTGTTTTTAAAAACAATTTTTAAGTAAAAAATTTATAGTTCTAAAAAATTCTGTATTAAAAATTTGTTTTAAAAAACAGTAAGAAAGCTGTCTCAAATGAAGCCTAAGACATGTTGCATTCTACTATAAACTAATGCTTGTAAAAGAGTGATTAACAAAGTTTAGCATGTTTTAAAATTTATGCACTCATAAGAAATCTAGATTATAATTAATCTAACATAATACAATACACATTACTAAATAGATCTAATATAACCCAACTTGATTATGTATTTTCTTAGGTACCTAAAAGATGGTTGAAGAGAAGGCGATCACCATTGCAATGGTGTTAGAAAATGCCATCATGATAATCAGATTGTCATTCGTCGTAGGGTTATGGAAGACGTGATTGTCTAGAATAAAAATTCTTTAAAAACTGTGAAAAACAGTGATCAAAAGCTGTCCCAAACGCTGCCCCAAATAAAGCCTAAATAGGTATTCATGCTTTATCATCAATATCTAACATATGTTAAAATAGGTTAATCATTAACATAAAAAACGATATCTAACATATGTACCATATAACCATCTAATTATATTTATTTATAAACAAAAGAAATAATAATAATTCTTAGATTAATCTTTAAAATTTTAAATCTCTTCTCACAAAAGATTGCTTAAAAAAGGCTTCTTTACAAACCTCTTGCATTTATTCATTTAACAAATCTATTTGAAGTCTAATTTCTTAAATAATCTTTTATTAACTATTTAAATCAAACAAAAACATACAAATAAGACCACAAAATATATTTATTTTGAGATTTTTTTAAAATAGTCAATGAATTTAATTATAAAATATTATATTTATTCAATTCATTTTATCCATACCCCAAATGATCTTTAAATTATTAAAAATTAAAGTATACAGTGGCGTGGGTGGTTCGGTAGGTCGGCCGGGATTTACGGACGACCAAGCGCGCTCGGCGAAGCCAGGCGTGGCAGCGGATGGTTCTTCATCACAAAAAAAATCCTAATTTAAAATTTAAGTATGTAAATTTAATCTTAATTTAATTTTATATGATTATTTGAGATTAACTTACTATAATTAAAGAGCTAAATAGGTGGCATATAGATTAAATCATTAGTCGCAAGGCTTACTTCGATTCCCTCCCACAAAGAATTCAGGGCAATATCGTTAGTCTTCAAAATAAGAAGTGTACTTCCCGCTCCAAGTAATCTCTGCAAATATTTGCCAGCTTTAGGGGTTGTTTGGTAGCACCCAGGATTTCATTTAAGTAGAATTTCATAAATTATCTAAATTTGGATTTATGAAATCCTGTGATGTTAAATCCTAAAAACTATTTGGTAACATTTATGATAAAATATGTTTGTTGCGTCCTGGAATATTCGCGGCGGTAGAGAAATATATAGTTTAACGTCTTAGCGTTGTACGAAGATAATGAATTAAAATAAAATTATAATTAGCATAATCTTATATCTTTATTAATTTTTAATAAATTAAATATAATAATTTTCATTAAAATAAATTATATAAAAAAATTAATTTCGATGAATTAATTTTTAGTAAATTAATAAATATTACTTATTAAAATTAATTTACTCATTTTAAATATATCTTCTACTACTTGCTACTTTATTTACATAGCCTACGCCTGGGGTTTGCTCTTCCCCTTTATTTCTTCGTCGTTGCAGTTCTTCTTCGGCTCCTTCGTCGATGTTCGACTTCGCTCCTGGAAGACGTTCCCTTCCTGTTGGATCGGAAGTTACGACATTTTGATCGGAAGCAACGACGGGAGTTCGCTCGCTGTGAAGGTAACTTTCTCCCTTTCGCGCGCTTCTTTGGCCAAATCCCGTAAATCCGCCGAATCAGAGGATTTCGGAAATCCGGGATTTACCAAGAAAATGGGTAATTTTCCGTCTAGGGCGGCTTTCATTTACCGTGAGATTTGGTTTTGCATTTTAGGTCGTTTGGCTGGATTTCGCTCAAATCCGCCTCAAATCCGGCATAAATCCTCCTACCAAACAGCCCCTTAGCCCTGCTGGGTGCTGTTGAAGCCGGCACAGATGGCGATGACCCTCGGAGGTAACCAACTCATTGTAATCTTTGGTTTCTACTGCGTTCTCACTGGAATCGTATGATTTGTCATGGGATTGACATTCACACCTTGTTTCTTTATATGTCATTGTTTGCAGTTTGGTTTGATAGTGCTAGAAACTGGGATTAATTTTGTTGAATCTAAATTTACCTTTGGACTATTCTTGGATCTTACTGACAAGATTAACCGGAAAATGTGATAGAATGCCCTGCAATTTCTTAGTGCCAAAAACGTATGGAACTGGAGTCAATGATCTATGTTTCAAGCTTGCTGTTGCTCTCTTACCCCTTATTTATAGGTGGAGGAAGAGATACAACTCTATAAAAAGTACTACATTTTAGAAAAATCAATAGCTTATTTAATATAGCCTAATGAAAGTTTGGCGTGAGATAACGATACAACAATTGTAGCTCTTAATTACATGAGTTATGTATTACAACTTTCTAAACATGGGATGGACCCGCATGAAATCCTTTGCTGATTTCATCTTCTTTGGCCGAATTATGGTGAGTTGCTATTTTAAAAGCTTTGGATGAATCCACCTAGTCTCCCTTTGAGGCTAATTGCGCATGTATGTTGCTTTGGTGTTTTCGTTTTACTTTGGGCATGAGGTGACCCAATCTCGTCGGCGAGTTCGTTGCATTGATGGGGACTTCTTCTAGTCATCCTTGAGCTCGATGATGCTCATCTCTAGTGAGTTCAATTTGATTGACTCGTTGTTTTGATATGTTTTGGTCGATCGAGTTCTTCTAATTCAATTTCATGTTCTTCAAATCTTCTTCAAGCAATGCATTTTTCTTCTTACTCTTTATATCAATTAATATTTTGATTTAATATTATTTAAAATAAAACAACAAATTAATAACGCAAATAAGTAATTATTAAATTTTGAGAATTGGAGAGTGGAAAAGCTTAACAAAATTATCCCTATTTATATTTCTATACAAGACATCTTAACAAAGAAACAAATAACTACCAAATCATGCATAATTGCCTTAGTATAATCCTTCCTAAATCAGCCACCCAAATATAGAAGGAGATCGACGTGATCCAGGTGAGCCCATGCTGGCCCTGGGGTCAAGGGCTAAGAGACAGCTAGGATTTAACAGTAATCTGTTATAATTAAATTAGCATTTGACTTTTTTGAAACTCCAACCTCACTTTGCTTTATTTTGAATGATTTTGAATTAAAAGTTGCTCTCAACTCAATAGCTTTTTTAATATTAGTAATTATATTTTCATTCTCATCATCAGTAAGTGTAATTCCTTCATCATTAAATTCACTCTATCACTATTTTGTTGTGTTAGTCATTCATCATCAGATTGTATATCATCAACAATCAAAGAATCAATTCCATCATCCTTTCTTTGTCTTTATGACTTGAGTTGTCTACTTTTTAATTTTTATTAAACATAATATTAACCAACCTTTTCACCTGTCCTATAGAAATGGGTTTCTTTTTATATGCTTTTGGTTGAACATTCTTCAATAGCATTCATGTGCAGAAGCTTAACAAGTAAGATTGAGAACTTGTACTACAAATGCTTTAAGTTCAGGTAGTTGTATGATACTTCTTTGTCCAATGTTTGACTAATCATTTGTTATTATTCTAACTTCTATTTTAGCCCATGTTTGCTTCAATTTATCGACCATCTTTGTCGTTTCCCTTGCCCTTGCCTCCTCATCTTACATCTATGTTTGAAGCTCGTTCATGCTAGGAAGCTCTAATATTTGACCATAATACCTAATAAAGCAAAGCATGATTATTATGAAGGACTCCTTTCCATGTTAAATGGAATTCTATTCTAAAAAATGCATCTTGTAATATCTAAACAAACTCTATTCTTGTGTCTTTTGTCAAAGCTAGAGGAGGAATTGTATAAGACTTATTATTCTCACCTTTGACTCGGCTCAAGCTATTTCAAGTATACAAATTTCATTTTTTTATCATTCTTCTATGGTACTCTTTAAGAACTATCATTTTTTGTTGTTGTTATTTCCTACATTCTCTTCTAACAGTTCTTGCTTTTTTTGTGTGAGTGTGATTATTTGAAAAGATTTTGAGCTTTTGGTGTGCTTGCTAACCACAATTTTGTTTCAGTTATAATGTTTTAAATTGGCTCGGTTTTGTGCCATTAAGGTCTTTTTATTCTCTGTTACCTAAATTCACCTGTGTTTAGATGGGGGGTTAGGTCGACCCCTGTCTATTCCTTTTAAAAGAGTCATCCTAGTCTATTCTTAAAAAAAGTCATCGTCCAAGTAATGGTCGAAATTTCCCAAAGGAAAACAAGCCTCGCTTTTATCTATACAAGTACAAATCCATTTATCCATTCCTAACTTGACCTAGAAAACAAATGAAACATGATTATTTTTTTACCTCAACTTGACCAAGAAAAGTAAGGGAAGCCTTAAGATCTTAAGTTTTGTCTTGTGTCTTGCTTCAATGACTAATGGAAATGGGAACAAGATGATTTTTGAGAATTAAGCATTAACTAATGGTAAATTGTTAAATTGCTAAAGGCTTTAGAAGTAATGAGTGAAGTATGAGCTTTCTCAAACATTTGGTGGCATTTAAGCAATTAATACAGGGTTTATGCTGAATAGTCTGTTATCCTATCTTATGCTTATACTGATATTGCCTCTGAAATTGTAACATACATTGTTAAAAACTTTAATTTTTTATTAACTTTTAACTGGTGATTCTCATTTTTTTCCTTCTTTGTGATCTATATTGTTGCAATGGTTGCGTGGCTGTGGGATCATCACTTTCAACTATGTTTTATAGTGTAAGTTCTGAGATTGCTTTTTTCATAATCCGGCTTGTTTTACATTTTGTAGAGATATTTCTAACTCTATTGATATACAGGCTTGGTGGACTAGCTTTCATGTTTTCAGCTAGCTTTCTGTTGCAAATCCTGGTATAGTCTCCATTTCCACTTATATCTAATGATTGTGTGCTCCAGTCTCTTTTAGATTGATGGCTGTGTGCTGTTCATTAATTAGCAAGAAGGTTTGTTGATGTTAGACTTTTCACGTGCAGCTTGTCTGAAAGTGATTTTCCTAATCTGTAAATAATTTTAAATGTGATCTTTTTGAAGTAACAGATGAATGGTTTTATTTTTCATTTCAAACTCAAATAGTTAGGATAATTCATTCTGTTGATGGCATTTATTGTCCTCTCACAGTTACATTTGGATATTTGCAATGCTGGCCATTAATTTAAATGCAGTCAGGATATACAATTTTCTAATGCAAATATAAATATAGGATGAAATGCACTAGAGATAAATTCATAGTTTACTGGCCATCAATTTGAACAAGCATTCATCCTTTTTCATAAAGATTCAGAATTACATAAAAATTTATCTATTTCATAATATAATAATTGCCAGATATTATTTTTTCTAGAAATTTAAGTTGAATAAAAAACCACACAATGATCAATGTTCACACAAGCATTATAAATTCTAAATTGTAACTGATTTGACAAAAATCAATCACGCTCGTAAACTAATTAGTAATTACAAAATATGTTCATATTTAACAAGGAAAGAAATTTCCAAATAAGTGATCCAAATTTCATATTGGTATAAGGTGAAAACTTTTCATTGAAATTTTCAATCAACACTTGCACCACAATTTAAAGAACTCATATGATCATATCCAATCAGTTTATGAGTTTGAGAGAGTGGGAGAGCAAGTACAATTTTTAAATAATCAATTGTTTTTTGCATGCCTCATATCTTCCAATTTTTATAATATTCAAATAGCCTAAATTCAATTGCCAAATTCCAACCATAAATCACTGGAAAATCGCAGCTGCAAATAGTAAGATTGTGTGAATTAGAACAAAATAATTGTGTTAAAGCATAGAGCTGTGTGGTTAAGCATGGTTCAGAAGATTATGTTTCCATGGGATGTAATTGAATATTACACAATTAATGCAATATGTAACAGTGCTCTAAGTTTTAGTAGTGAACATGTTCAATTGCACAATTTATGCAATATGTATCAGTGCTCTAAGTTTTAGTAGTGAACATGAAAAATAATGATTCGGTAGCATAACAAATGATAAACCAAAAGAATAACCAATGTATCAACAAACCATAGAATCGACATCTTGCTAATAATGAACCGAACTTCGGGATTTAAAATATTACATACGACAACCTGTTCTCATAGACAATATTATGTGCCTAAATAAAACTACTTGAAACTTAAAACAAAATTTTGTAAAATTCAAAGAACTTCTAAAGTATTATCAACTAAAATAAAATAAAAAGTTTTATGCACTCTTGCATTTTTTGACAAGTGTAAATTTGAAGTTTGCATCAAATTTGATTGATTTAGAAAATTTTTCTTTCGATGAATAGGGTATTTGATATTCATCAAGAAAATCAAGGCATAATTGTTGCTCTTCCTATAAATATGATGTGAATAATCACAAATAGGCCTATCATGATAGCGCACAAGATATTGCTAGTGTCTTTCATCAGCAGTCGACAAATCTCATCATTGAAGATTGCTTTAGGAAGAAGATATAGATTTGTTTAATAAAGCGCTAGATGTTAATTTTTAAGGAGGAGATGAAAAGAGGGAAAAAATTCAAGATGAGGGTGGCACATTCATGAGATAAGGTTAAATCAGTTTCATTGAATGTTGGATAAATATATATATATTTTTAATTTAAATGTATAAACATTCACCCCAATGCATTATATGATACTTTACATTACTCTTTTTTTCTAAGAATTTATTTTTAAAGGCTTATGTGCATCTTCCGAGGTTTATACATATGGTTTTTTTTTTAAGGTTTAAACATACCATTATTAGGATGATGATGTTTTCTAGGTCTGTGTTTTGGTTTGTATTAAAAGCATTAATTTTTTTATGTTGAGCTTGACATAAATGAGAATGTTATGATGGATGTGTGTGAAAACTAAGAAGGAAAAATTAAAGAATGATTATATTAAATTAAGAAAAAAGAATCAAAATGATCCCCAACTATATTAAAAGGTCCCTCAAATCTTTAAAAATGAATTAAAATAATCCCATGGTGGGACTATTTGGGTTCATCTTTAAGGAATTGAGGATCCAAAATAATCATTTAATGTAGTTGGGGACTACTTTGATCTTTCATAAAGAATCAAATGATCATTTTGATCATTTTCTCGCTGAAGTAATGATTGGAGGAGTTTTTTTTCTCCGAAGTAATGGTTGGAAAAGTTATATCTATTGAAGACAAGGTAGATGCAAGTAAAAATAAGTGGTTTAGGCATAGGAAATGGGTAGAAAATGCATCATTGGATGAACAAATAAATAAATAATTGGGAAGGAGAAATGTTAGACCTAAAATAACATGTATAGTTGTTCAAAATTATTTATGAATAATATGTTTAACACCTCTAGCAACACTTAGCAATAATGCATGGAAAATTAGGATTTATAAGCCAACCCCAAATAGTTGGGATAAGGCTCATGGTGATGATGAATGTTTTTAAGCTTTGTAATTAACTTATTTTACAAAGTATAGCCCCTTATGAGTTTTGAATTTATCTCATTTGTGTTGATGATCAAACAACATTTGTTTTTATTTTAGTTTTGTAATTAAATCTGGAAAACACATGGTTGTATTTTTTCATTGCCTTTGAAGATCAGTTCTCATATTTTACTTTTAATCTTTGGAATGAGCCTTAACAAATTATTTTATTCTTGCAGGCTTGTGCATTATACAACAACTGGTGGCCTATGCTAACAGGTAGATGATTCGCCATGTATATACAGTATACCAAATTTTCAGTTAACGCAATATGTTTACTGAGATGTTTAACTGCCACTAATGAGATTTCGTTAATTGCAGCTCTCATGTATGTATTGGTGCCAATGCCTTGCTTGTTTTTTGGAGGTGGTTCTACGCATTTCTTGACCAGCAGGGAGGGTGGAGGGTGAGTTTAAATACTGTCATGCTTTTAGTTTTTCTTGCTGTTTGAATCCTTATGTAGATACATTTATTTTTTTATTTCAAGATCCACTACTTGTATTTATGATATCTAAAGCTATGAGTCGTTAAATCATAAATGAGTGACAAGCTTTGATCCTAAATATGACTTGGATATATAAAGTTCAGCTGGTTTGGTACTTTTAATTTGATATGCAGTTAACCAGGGCGTAAAATTCATTAACTTTGGCACTCTTACCAAGAAAACACACATTCTTCAATTAAACGGTGGTCTAAGTAGATCTTATAGATGCTCGATTAGATGATTAAACCCAGCAGTCTTAGTAAGCTGGTACTCTACTTGCTCTAGCAGATGTTCTGTTTTCATTGCCATGACCCATGAAACCTGCTGTTCTGTCCAGTGATCAAAATATATCTGTACACTTACTTCTTTTGGCTGTGAAATCTTCATGTTCTATGACTAGGTGATTGAAACACTTGAGTTTGATTGTGTGACTGATACAGTGATGCGTGAGAACAATGGAACAAAAATAAGCATTTAAGTTAATTTGTTTAAGATTATAAAACCCCGATGTATTGCACCTTTTTAACAAAATTTATTGTCAGATATCATGTTGATAGCGTCTTCGGAGAACGTTTTCAACCCAATGCCATGTCTTCTGACTCATGGACCTTACAACATGGTTCTTTCTTTTTGTAATCAAGAATGAGATTAGTATATGCTTATTCCTTTGGGTGATATGCCCAATAGGTATCGGAAAATTATTGCTATTAGTGTAACTGAATTAGAAAGAAATTCTTTGAAAGGATTACTTTGTATCTTTGATAGAAAATACTTGAGTTCGCAATTAATTCTATCGGATCTACTTGAGTTCGCAAGCAAACCTAACAATAATCGATAAAAATAGCGAAAAAAGTAAGAAATTATGGTGGAAGAACAATCAAACGATAACAAATCTTATAGAAAACAAAGCAAAACAAGAACAAAGCAAAGATACAAGAGATCCTCAATTCGAGAGGAGGATCGTCTCTCCCAAATCTCTAGACAAGAGAGTCTAGAGTCCAAGTCGCCAAGAAACCCTAATTCCAGTCAATCAAAACATAATCTTCCCTAATCCTCTCATCCTCTTTAATACAAAAGTTTTCCTAATCTAATTTCCCTCCCAATAGCCGCCCACTCCTTTTCAATTTGAAATTGCTTGGACAAGTGGGGCCCACCCCTTTGTGCGGAAATAACCAGAGGATACGGACTTTTTCAGCCTCCTGTACACGAGGTTGGGTCGGCTGGGCCGGTTCAGTGTGAACCGGCATATCAATTTTCAACTAAGTTATGATCTTGGGTATGATAGATGTTGCTTCACCTGATTTTTATTGATTGCACGGTAAGTATTTTTAAGGTGATAGCTTCTGTAGGGCAGTAATAGGACAAATCAGGTGCTTGAGTGCTATGTATTAGCTTAGGTTTAAGTCATCCTGATGATTACTCAGAATCAATCTAGTATTATCCATGCTTGATTTGAAAGGTTTTCCATTTATTTTTCTTAGTTTATTCTTTTCTGAAAGATAAGTTGTATTGCTTTCTACGGCACTCTTTGGTTAGTATTTCTGAAGTAGAAGAAGGCTTGCCAAAGTGCTGCGCTTCTACATTAAAAATTTAGCTCTTAGCAGTTCAAAAACTGGTGACATCTATATATCAATAGTAAAATTCTTCTGTGATTTACTGAGTATTGGTGCTGCTCCATTCCTATATGGCACAAAATTGTTTAAGACCAAATAAGGAATTGAACTTCATATGTTCTAACTGTTGCATTGAAAATGAAACAATTATAGATGTTTGTTTGGGTTTGCTTCTTGTTCTTTTTTTTGTTTTTGCTCTGTTAACTTTATGTCCATTAGCGTGTCTATTGAAGGAAAAATTATTACGTGCGGCATTCGGATTCTCTTCCGGAGGCGAATCCGAATGCGTCATGTCACCCGGGGCCCGGTGCATCCAGGTGACGTGGCGCGTCTGGATTCGCCTCCGGACGGTTTGGATGCCGCACGTAATAATCTCTCCTATTGAAGGGCAAATTATGCATTGAAAATGAAACAATTATAGATGTTGGTTTGGGTTTGCTTCCTGTTCTTTTTTTGTTTTTGCTCTGTTAACTTTATGTCCATTAGCGTGTCTATTGAAGGAAAAATTATTACGTGCGGCATTCGGATTCTCTTCCGGAGGCGAATCCGAATGCGTCATGTCACCCGGGGCCCGGTGCATCCAGGTGACGTGGCGCGTCTGGATTCGCCTCCGGACGGTTTGGATGCCGCACGTAATAATCTCTCCTATTGAAGGGCAAATTATTTTGTGCGGAGTCCGGATGTCGTCCAGAGACCAATAAAAATGCGTCAACATCACCTCAACCGAGCGGTACCGGACGGTTCTCATGTCTGGTGTCCTCACAAAATAATCTCTCCTATTAAATTATTGTTCTTGCAGTTGAGAAGTGGAAAAATCACTTATTTATCTCTTTAACCAGGTCTTGTATGCTGCCCTCTTTTAAAATTATAACCAAAAATTCCCCTTTGATTATGATATAGATGGATAAACGCTGCAAAGTTTCTGACGGGGGCGTCGGCCATGGGAAGCATCGCCATACCTGCAATCTTAAGGCATGCTCATCTGATCGAAACAGGTGCAATGTTAATAGAATTCACTTCATTCTTCATTTTAGTCTGTACTGTACTTTGCTTCCACCGAGTTAGCCTTGATGAGGATTGGTAGCTTAACAAGATTGTCCCAATCGCCTTATTTTATGACCCTCCACAGTCCTTTGAAAACACTTATTATGTAGCCTTTGACCTCTAGACAATAAAAAGTCTTATAAATACTGTTAGGCAAACTATCATCTAATCAATCCCTATGTGTTATATCTCATGTTTTTATAATGTTTTTTATGTTATTAGAAATGATTTTATTTTTGTAGTTATTTTTTATTTTATTTTAATGTGTTAAAATAAATTTAATGATTATAAAATTATTTTGATTGAATTTGGATCAAAATTATTGTTGTGGGTATTTTATTGTGCTTAGCATTTAATCTTAAATGATCAACAACAATATCAAGCCTTCATCCTATTACGTGGGTTCTCATGATGAAAGTTATGACTATTTAATTAAATAAAGTATGTGAGAGATTAATTGAAATAAATAATTATTTTTTAGAAAAGTGGTTAAATGATTGTGGGCTTCTCCACGCGTGTGAAATTAAAGTGAAAAGCTAATTAATGATAAGCAAAAGAGATTCGAACACACTAATGGCTATTAATGCAAACTGTTTTTTGCTGAGTTAATTTTTTTTTATTTGATTATCTCATACTAATAAAATATTTTTATTATATCTTAAAGATTTATGATATAGCCCATTTTTTCATTTTATGTATAATGCAGTGTGAAAATTTTTAACTATATTTATAGATTTCATCACATTTATAAAAATCAAAGTCGAAATAAAATTGTTTATAAAAATATAATAAGTTACATTTCTTATTGCTTTGTTTTTTCAAATTTTTACCACACTTTTGTTCACCCATTTTTTTATTTATTATAATTTATTTAGTGTAAATTTATTTTTTATAATTAGATTTATTGCAATCTTATAGTTATAAGAAAATTATTATTAACTTTCTTAAAAAATATTTATAATACTCATATTAATTGAAAATAATAATTTAAAAATTATTCTCACAAGTACCCTAATAAACACATACAGAATATTAAAAAAACTTCATTAAATCAAAATAAACATAGGCAGTTAATTAATTAACTCCCCATAGGCTTATTTAAGATACAAAGCCAACTCATTCAAACTCCCACAGATAGCTAAAGCATAATAGCCAAAAGAAAACACTGTCTTCAACTTCAAGGAATCCCAATGATAGGAAAGAAGGGGATAACATAGATCAACGGCGGCAGCCAGAAAGTCTCCGGCGGCGGCTCCGGCAGCCCCGCCTGCTGCGTTGCCATCGTGTTCAGCGACTTGTCTTCTCCCAAAGCAGCTCGGCCACCATAGTTACCTCCATTCCCCTTCTCAAGTTTTGCTTCTTCAATTATTTTCTTGCATGAGGTGAAGAAGGCGAGCGGAGTTCGAACTGTATAAGAAGAACTGTTTGTTGATGCATTTAATGGATTAATGGCGACGATTTTGGAGATAATGGATTTCCTGAAGCCGCAGAGCTGAGTTTTCCCACCGAGTAGATTTACAGAGCAGTCGGATGGAAGAGGAGATGGCTTTGCGATGGAGATCTGAAATTGACCTTTGGCGTCGGTCAACGCGTAGGATAGTATGTCTTCTTTACTGCAGTTGACGGCCATCCTCACACCTGTTTGAAGAGAGAGAGAGATTTGGTCAGACCAGCTCAAAGTCAAAGCTTTTGACTTTTGCTGAAGTCAACTTCAAATTATACAGATAGTTAAGAAAAATTAATATCAACAACAACAACAACAACATCAAGCCTTTATCCCATTTCGCTATTGTGTCTTATTAAAAGTCAAATTCTCGTTTAAATCTAATAAAGAAAGATCATTTCTAATATTTTCTAACCAATTCTTTTTAGGTCGGTCTCTACCTTTCTTAACATAAGTCAAGTTTAATACATCTACTTTCCTAACCGGTTCATCTGAAGGCCGCCGTTTTGGGACCAAACCATCAAAGACGGCTCTCTCTAATCTTATCTTCTATTGGAATCTTATAGTTATAAGAAAAATTAATATGAAAAAAATAAAATAAAATACAGAGAATTACAAAAAAGGGATGAATGGGGAGGAGAAAACCAGAGAGGTCATATGAGGGAGAGCAGTCGATGCAAGAGACTGATCCTTTGAGCAAACTGGCTATGGAGAGCTGAAGAAGATGAGCAAAGAGCAGAGGAAGCAGAAAGGATCTTTTCGCCATTAGAGACCTTATGATTCTGAAGATTTAGAGCTGAGATGAAGAGGAAGAAACAGTCTTGAAAGCCATTAAATACTTGCAATCCACATATATATTAAATGAGAGATATGAGGGGACTTATGAGTTGGTGGATTGATTGAATGTGCTTTATTGAAGTAACTGTTGAAGATAAGCAAGGAGGAGAGTTTCTGGCTATGGGCATTGCCAACTACAATGGAGACTCATTATTATTAGGTTGGCAATCATATTTATTAGTATATATATCATTTACATTTAAAGCTAAATTGCTAAAATTTTTAAAAGAAATTCAATGATCTATTTCATTTTGGTTTTTTATCTCTTTTAAATATTATCAATAGATTATATGGAAGAAGATATAAATATAAGATTGTCATGTCAAGATAAGGGAATAAGTGAGTCAAGTTAGTTTGTGAGCAGGCTTGAGTTCAACTCGATAAATAGTTCATGAGCAAAACTTGAAGAGCTAACAATTCAGGTTTGAGACAGCCAGACAGCCTTGACTCAATTCATTAGCTCACAAAGTGGCTCGTTTAAAATCTATTGCTACAAAAAACAATTGAAATATATTAGAATTTAGGAGTTAAAGTATTAAACTATTAAAAATATGTAAGCTTGAACTAGATGTGACGCTAGCGCGGTTCAAGTTCACATGACCTGTGCAAGTCATGCGTTAGAAAGGACGGGGGCGATCAACCGCTAGACCTTTGAAGCTCGATTCAAGTGAAGCTCGATTCAAGTTGTACATGATCCAAATGCACTCAAAATCATCCTTTTGCTTCATTAAACCAGACTATATCAACTATAAATTTATTGAAATTAGAATTCGAATGACATGTTAGAAAGCTTAATCTATTTTGAATATTTTTTGGGCCTAAAAAATTAATTCCTTGTCGATTAATTTTGTGAGCAAAATCAAGCAAAACAAGCAATTATTGATAGGTCATCCAACTCAATGGAAAGCCCTTTTTGAAAGAAATAGAAAACTATATTGTGAGAAATAAAAATAAAAATACTTAATATTTTATTAAATTCTGTAACTGTAACAGCACAAAAATTAAGATAGTATAAACACGCCATTTAAATATTTAATTACATCAACCTTCTTATTGTACTCCATTTTTTTTTCAACCAAGCAAGCTCATCAATGCTGAAGGCAGGATTCAATGCATTCTTCCACAGTACTTCAAATTGGCAGGAAAATTTATTAACTATTATATCTATAACATCCAAAAATCGGGCACAAATCTCAAGGCAAGATTGAATAAAAATTTTTCAAAATTGATTTTGGGACCATCCGAACTCCGATTTTTGCAAACTTAAAGTTGAATTCAACATCTCAAAAAAAAAGAACCCAATGACACTAAGGTTTCATTTGGGATAGCTTTTTTAATGCTTCTTAAAGCAGCTTTATAGTACAAATTTAGTTATATTTTAACTTAAAAACAGTTTTAAGAAGCATTAAAAAATCTGTCCCAAACAATGCCTAAAGCCGGTCCAATCCGTGCCCAAATGAGTCCAAATCGGGCCCGAAGCACAATTGGAAGCTTCAAAACATAAGTTGAACAACCAAATGATTTTTAAATGTGATATACTTATAGTTGAATCGAGCGGCTTGACGAGATGAATCCAAGGAGCCCAAGATCGTTGAATTTTGACATTACTAAGATACTAAAAGGCATGATAAATGGTCAAGGGAATTAATATCGGTCATCCATCTGAAACACTCCCAATCTACTCTTGATCTTCTCACTATTTACTAGTTATGTTATTCTCAAAAAAATATAAATAGATCCTCCATTCTACACTAAAGAGGGAGAAAAAAAAAAGTGAGAAAAGAAAGGAAAAGGAAGAGGAAGAAGAAAGAGAAATTTGAGATTTCTTTTTCCACCAAGCTCCTCCTCGACCATCGCCAGATCACCATCAGACCACCGACCGTCGCAGGACCACCAACTATCATCGTATCACTGTCGGACCATCAATTGTCACAGGACTTCCACTACGCCACTGACCATCATCAGACTTTCGCCCGGCCACCGACTTTTGTCGGACCATCGTCAGATCAATGACCAGCACCGGACCACCGACTGTCATCGAACTTCCTGCCAACGACCATCGATTGACGTCGAACTTTAACTTGGCCACCGACAAACGTCAAACTTCCACCTAACAACCAACTGACGCCAAACTTCCAACTAACTTTGTCTACTATTATAATTTCAATCTTCAAACTACATGACAAATCAAGCTTTATAATTTATTCATATACTATTGTAATCATTTGAATCAGGCAAAACCCCATGGTATTTTTTTCAAGGGTTTCCACATTAAAAACCTTGGTGTTTTATCTTTTTTGTTTGTGTGCTGAATATTCATGCAACACTAAGATGAAAAACACTATCACTTTATTGTCATGTATATTCTAGCCCGTAACTTATATATATTAAAGATTCATAAAATAATTTTTTATTCAATGTTATAAATTATTCATTTATTATTACTTAAATGGAAATCAAAACTTAATTAATTATCTCCTAATATTTTAATTGACTTGAAATTTGAGTATTGCTTGCTCTAAATATGTTTTGATTCAACAAAAAATTGAATCCAACACATAGAAAGTAAAGAAAGAAAAGAAATTTCATATGGGAAATTCAAAAAAAGAAAAATTAGAATATAAGATATTGCTCATTTGCATAATATTATTTTGAAATGAAGTAAAAAAGAAGGAAGGCCCTTCAAAGATGAATTCAAGAGAATATTGCTACAATATTATAGAATGAGTTCCTCAAGTTATTGAATGAGGAGCCAAATTGTTGATGACAACAACAATGATAAAGGTAGAAGTGGAAAGAAGGTTGCCATCTTGGTAGCTTTAGAAAACCTCACAAATGTCATAACATTAAATTATATAAGTGTTCATCCTCCTTAGATTACTTAACAAACCAAACTTCATAATAAAATATGACCAAATAGTTCAATTCACTTAACCAAAATACTTCCTTGCCCTATCAACCTCATCCACAATTAAGATCCAAAGAAATACAAGACAAAAGACCCATCACATTCAATGCAAGAGAAAGCCATCTTCAAGTATAAGGACTTTGGGGAAGCAAATCACACAAGAAATCATTATGCATGTCATAATATATAGCACATAATTTGCACTATTAAAAAAAGTACAAATTAGTAAACATACAAAAAATATTAATAATTCAACAAATAATAAAATGAACTATCCTAAAAACAAAAAATATAACCAATATCATATAAACAAAATATATAATTATTTTAATATACATAAACGATAATGCAAGACAATAACATTGAAAAATAAACTATTATAATAAAATTATCACGATTGAAGTTTCGTCCATTTTACAAATTTCCTATCAAACAAAAAATTATTTGGCCTCCATTATTATCTTAACCTAAATCCTAATCTTCTTCCTACTCATCATTTTCATGTTCATATAAAAATAAAAAAAAATCATTTTCATGCTCATATGCATCAACAAGATAAAAACTCTTTTAATTTCACTCTCAATCAAGATCAAGACTATAGCTTTTTCAATAATCACTAATACTTCGTTTGGGACGGCTTTCTTACTGCTTCTTAAACAACTTTTTAGTTAAAAAATTAAAATTTTTATACTAAAAAGCTGCTTCAAAGAGTAACAAAGCCATCACAAATGAAACCCAACCCTCATAACAATACTCCATGTCGGCTCTTCATCACCAATCACTAATGCATAATCTTCATCAAACTTGTCTTTTCTTTTTAACCACTCATTAGCATTACCTGTAAAGAGTCATCAGTTGAAATCAACTGATTTTCACTCAGCTGGCAGAATGGAATAATCTAAAATGAAAAGAAAATCATAGACCTGTTTTAAAATAACTCATGCCCAATCCCTTAAGCTAAAAAATTAAAAATGTAAACAAAAGCAATAAAAAATAGCCAAAATATCAACCAAAAAAAGCATACATGATATGTGCTATGCTTTGTGACTCAGAAATAGCATATATATAGCATTCTTTATTTGGACTTTTTAAGCCCTGTAGTGAAAATTGCAAAGTTATAGTGCATTATTTTGTGATATTAATAAGCATGAAAATGATGGGTTGTCCTTAAGCTATTTTGCGTTCAAGGACAAAACATAGATAATAAGCAAGCATATGAGGTATGATAATCAACTGAAGAAATCAAATGAAAAGAACAAAGAAAACAAACAAACTTATATAAGCTTGTAGGGATGTAAATCATGATAATCATCTGCTGTGGCAATATTTGCCCTCAACAAGATCACAATATGCAAGAAGTTCCTGATCATAATAAGTAAATCTATTTTTATGATTGTAGCTCCATCATTTGATCTAGATGATAAAAACAAATATAAGAAAGGCCATTTAGACTCTCATAGTCATTTCTAAGAATAAAAATCAATGTAAAAAATCATGAAAATAAAATAAATAGCAGTATGATATAAGCTGGTGACTTTATTGAACCAATATAATCACCATTAAAAGCAAATTGTATTTACTTTGTAAAAGATGAGGTTTCCAAGTTTTACACAATATTTGTACCTTAATCTCACAGTTCATTTATATGGTCTTTTTTGTTGTATAGGAAATGTTTGTGTTGGACTTGTCGTTTTATTCCTCATTCTATGTAATTTTGTTGTGAATTGTATGACATGCGCCAAAAAGCATACTAGGCTGGCCATCACCAGTTCAGTTGTTTATTCATTTCTTCAGAGTAAGATTTTCATTAATATTGATCAAAACTGATGCCTTGTTGATTTCATGCATTCGTTATTATTCTTTGTTATGCCATGACTTGCTTTGACATTTTTTCTATTACCATGAACATATTGATAACAATGCACTTTAAATATCTGCATATTTTTTAATTGATATTCAGATAAGCTAATTTGTGTATAATTTTTGTGAAAGTGATATTGAGATAAGATTGTTTATGTCTTTAGGTCAACCTTAAAATGGTTTTCTTTTCAAATTATTTTCCTCTGATGGCTACAGATAAAACTTGAGCAGCAACAACAACAACAACCTTTCAGCAAATTGAAAACCTTAGAACATTGACAATCATAAATTAGCTAATATGAAAGATCAATGTAGCCATAATACACACATGTCCAAAGTCCCCGTGTCTAATTATATCATGTAATTCATGATTGAAGTAACTCTGAGAACACTCCTAACAATCAAATTGTGACATAACAAAGGATACACACATATAGTCCATAAGTGAAAGCATCAAGGTATCAAATTTGATCACAATAAGTCAGTTGATAATAACACAAAAATGAGAAGCTTACTCTCGAGCAATAAAAATAATTTAAACATAAGGCCCAAATGTAGGCATTGTAGAGCAAGTTTGAATTGACTGACATGAAAAAAAAAAAATTACACATGAAATGATTGACAACTCAACATTGGAAGAAAGCAATCTAAAGACAAACAATACAACATCAACATCAAGCCTTTATCCCACTAACTGGGGTCGGCAACATGAATCATTTTTCTCCATTGTATCCTGCTAAGAATCAAATTCTCATTCAAATCTAATAAAAAATATCATTTCTAATATTTTTTAATCAAGTCTTTTTAGGTCTACCTCTACCATTCTTAACATAGGCTAAATCTAATACATTTACTATCATAACCAAGTCATCGGAAAGCTGATGTTCTATGTGACTAAATCATCTAAGGCGACTCTCTCTAATCTTATTTGTCATTGGAGATACTCCCATTCACATATATACTCTTTAGCGATCCATCTCTAAGAGTAAAACCACTCATCCACCTGAGCATCCTCATCTCTACAACACTTAATTTTATGCTTTTCTTTTAATGGCCAATATTTTGCATCATAAAGTATTACAGATCTCACCACCATCTTATAGATCCCTCATCGCAGGCCTCACCACCATCTTATAGAATTTTCCCCAAAGTTTGAGGGATACTTTGCTATCACACAATAGGTCTGATGCATTTCTCTGCTTCAACAATCTAACTTCAATTCTATTAATAATATCCTCATCAATTTCACCATCAACTTGAACAATACTCTGATATATAAAACATTTACTCTTTTAAATGACTTAATCGCCTAAAGTCACAATCCCCCCACTATATCTATTACTATTAAAATAATAATAAAAATGAAAATCTTACTATGAAGCAATGAAGAAACCACTGAATTTGTAACGGCCAGCTTACTACGCTTTTTGGCGCATGTCATACAATTCACAACAAAATCTCATAGAACGAGTAATAAAATGACAATTTTAACACAAACATTTCCTATACAACAAAAAAGCCAAATATAAATGAACTGAGATTAAGGTAAAACTTGGAAACCCATCTTTTAAAGGAAACCCTTAGTAACTTAATCTTAAGTTAGCTCATAAAAGTCTGCCTTAAGAGCCAGAGTTCGAAATCAATTGAAGGCTAAGCAGAAAAGAGAACATGATTAACCCCTGAAAGAAGCATTGTATATTGGGCCTAATAGTTGGCAATAAAGCAACAGCCTTAAATTAATAGCCTATATAAAAGATAAATATTTCCAGGTGTATTGTTCGGACAAAGATGGCAGTTCTCAAATTATTCTAGAAAATCGAATAAAATAGATCCCCGCTTATCAAAAATCACATAGCTCATGACAATTTCCAAAATTTCCCACAACGAAGAGCAAAGATCCCTACTAAATCAATCTAGAAAACCTGTTTGATGCCAGACAGCATTGCGGACCCTTCGCAGGTCCCTACCCTTGAGAGTCCTCCCGACTCCTTCCAGCATCGAGAAAGTGGTCAAAGGAGACTCCTTGGAAGCAGCCCTCGCCACAATCTCATGAGGTGGAAGCATCTCCTCTTCTTCAATATCCTCAGATTCCCTCACATCGCCATCAAGATCCTCCCAACCTCTCCGAGCCCTCGGCGGCACGATGGGCACGTTTACCGGCGCTGATTGGTGGTAGATCTTACCTCCTGGAACTGACATGGCGTACTCCGTCTTCGGCTTCGGAATCACTGGAATCATCCGAGCAGAGGAAGAGGGCGAAGAAGGTGATGCAGCGGCAGAAGATGATGACGGGGAGAAAGTTTTTCGCTGGAGAAGAGGACGTTTCTTTTCTTCTTCCGGTAAGGCGGCGAGTATGCCGAAATTGCGCTCAGGAAAGCGGCGATGGCCGGGGCGGTAGAGGGAGGGGCTAGGGCTAGGGTTAGGGTTGGGGCTCGCCATAGAAGATGAATGCTTGGGGGATGGGTGATTCGGCTCGGATGAATCGATTCCAGACCAGAAAATATCGTCTTCGTCAAGCTCGTCGCCGCCGCCGGTCGGTGAAGTTGCTGCAGCGGCAGCACCACCGTTGCGCGTTGGCGGCTGGGAAAAGAGACCAAGAAAACTGTTGGCGCCTGGTGATCTCTGCTGGCGGAAAGACTCCATCACCTGATAAATTCAGACTTTTTGCAGCAGAATGCAGCTCAGCGAGGCGTCATCTCCGGCAAGATCCGCCATGGCAAGAGAGAGAGAGAGTACTGAAAGAAAGAGAAAGGGGTGGGGTCTTGTATAGAGAAGGAGAGGGAAGCTCAGGTCAGACGGCTAAGAATGGGACCCACTATTATTTTTTAGTAGCGGGCCCCAGCTGAATAATGTTCTTATCCAGCTTCCACGTCCGCATAGAAATTTTTGTGCATGCCATTCCTGAAGGCTCACAAAATTTTCACAGTATTTCATCCTCGGACCTTCCTTACGATGCGTGCTATTAATTTAAACTTAACAAATTGTATTTTAGCACAACTCTTAAAGTACATCGAAGGGACACAATCTAGTCATTCTTGCTTACTCTTTTTGGTATGTTGTCGCCTATACGATACGGAACGCTTATGCGGTGAGGAGCGCGTGATGTGACCATCTATGTACGTGGACGAGTGTCCCGGTTCAATGAACCGAACCGGACTCACTAGACTTTACAAACTTTTCTCATATAATAAATTAGAAATTTCCTTATTTGTCACTTAAAATTAGTTTTAAAATTTTCTAAAAAAGGGATTTCCTAAAAATGGACAAATTTTATTAAAAAGATTTTTGATGAGATGAAAACTTGAAAATAAAACTCTTACAATTAAAATTGAAGAAGATACATCATAAAAAATTTATTGGATTTAGGATTTTTAATCTTTTTATGTTGGAGATAAAAAATGTAATAGTTCATCATAAATAAAATATAATAAAATTAGATATTTATACTACTGTTATAAAAATGACTTGAGTTTTCACCGTCACTTAATTTTGATCTTTTATTTTATTTCTTAAAATAGTATCATGACCTTTTATTTTATTATAAATATTTAATAAATCTAAAAATATATAATAATTATTTAGCAATTAATAACATTGCTTAATTAACAATCCAATTTACCATCTCATAAGTCTACTAAAATCAATTAATGCCGATTTCTAAAATTGCTTTCAAACAATTAATCTGACTCTTATCTCATATGTCGAATTAAATTAATAAATTCTAATTCCACTCCGAAATTATTAAAACTAAATTCATTTAAAACAATTGCTGACGGATTCCCTCCGTTACTTTTTATTTCGACCGCCTATTTCCTACGTTTTTCTTTAACTACCCTAACTTCGTTCTATAATCCTCTTCTCTGTTAGTTGCCTCTCGATGAAGGGAAACTGTTCGAATCTCCTAAGGGCATCTTGATGCGGGTAGCACCTGATATTACATAATACCTATTAAGATTTTACCTATTAGCTTTATTAGAAGACTTGTTGGCACTAGTGGCTGCCGACAATCACAAGCAACAGGACCTTCACGCCGTCCCTGAAGCAGTGAAGCAACTACTCACTGAGTTTGCTGATATTGGCCCTACCGAGCTACCTGCTCATCTACCGCCGCTACGCACCATCCAGCACCAAATTGACTTGATTCCAGGAGCTTCCTTGCCCAACTTACCGCACTACCGAATGAGTCCTAAGGAGCACGCTATTCTTCAAGATATTGTGGATGATCTGTTGAAACGGCAACTCATTCAGCACAGCCTCAGCCCGTGCGCAGTACCTGCGTTGATAGTCCCCAAGAAAGATTGGCAATGGCGGATGTGTATAGACAGTCGCGCCATAAATAAGATCACAACGAAATACCGGTTTCCTGTTCCAAGGATTCCCGATCTGCTGGATAAACTAGAAGGCGCCGCTGTATTCTCCAAGTTAGACCTTCGAAGTGCTTATCACCAGGTCCGTATTCGCCCCGGAGATGAGTGGAAGACCGCCTTTAAAACCCGGGAAGGACTCTTTGAGTGGCGAGTTATGCCATTCGGGCTATGTAACGCCCCATCTACGTTTATGAGGCTGATGTCGGAGGTGTTGAAACCATTTGCGGGCAAATTCTGCGTATCCTATTTTGATGATATACTGGTCTATAGTTCTTCATTAGAAGAACACATTCAGCATCTTACACTTGTATTTCAAGCCCTGCGTGATCATAGGCTATACCTGAATCTCTCAAAATGTGAATTTGCAACCCATTCGGTTTATTTCTTGGGGTTTGTTGTGTCCCACGAAGGTATTCAGGCGGATCCGAGAAAAGTGGCCGCTGTTCGAGATTGGCCTACACCCCGCACAGTAACTGAAATTCGAAGTTTTCATGGCTTAGCAAACTTCTACCATCGTTTCATTAGAGGATTCAGCGTTATTATGGCTCCCATCACGGATGTGTTGAAAGGGTCAAATTTTTTCTGGTCAGATTCTCAACAAGCCAGCTTTGATAACATTAAGGCAGCTCTCAGTCATGCGCCGGTTTTGGCTCTACCCAGCTTTGAAAAACCATTCCAGGTGGATACCGATGCATCCAGAGTGGGCATAGGCGCTGTATTGTACCAGGAAGATCGTCCCATCGAATACTTTAGTGAGAAACTCAGTCCGCCGCGCCAAAAATGGACTGTGTATGAACAAGAATTATATGCCGTTGTGAGGGCATTGAAGCATTGGGAGCACTACCTTCTCCACCAAGATTTCGTGCTATGCAGCGATCATCAATCGTTGTAATACTTAAACAGCCAGAAGACTGTCAATAAAATGCACGCGAGGTGGGTAATTTTTCTTCAGCGATTTAGCTTTGTAGTTCGTTACAAAACGGGCAAGATGAATCGTGTGGCAGACGCCTTAAGCCGTCGAGCAGCTTTACTTACACAGCTTCAAACTGAAATCACTGGGCTACAAGAAATGCAAACTATGTACAGTGACGATCCAGACTTTACTTCCGCCTGGGAGGAATGTTGTTTCGGCAAGCCTTCCACTGACTACACTTTGCGGCATGGGTTTTTGTTTAAAGGGAACTGTCTGTGTATTCCGGCTTCATCTTGGCGCCAACAACTTATCAAAGAAATCCATTGTGGAGGTTTGGCGGCCCACGTTGGAAGAGACAAGACTTTACAACAGCTCCAAGGCCGTTTCTTTTGGCCGCACATGAGACGGGATGTCACGAGATTTGTTGAGAGATGTGCCGTCTGTCAACAGTATAAGGGAGCTTCTCAGAATGCTGGGCTTTATTCACCTCTGCCTGTCCCGGATTCAATATGGGAAGATTTAAGCCTTGACTTCTTTTTAGGCTTGCCGAGAACAAAGCGTGGCTCCGATTCCATTCTTGTTGTCGTCGACAGGTTTTCAAAGATGGCGCACTTCATTCCATGCAAGAAAACCTTCGACGCATTAGGCATTGCGAAGTTATTTTTCAAAGAAATCGTCCGTTTACACGGGATTCCCCGCAGCCTTACATCCGATCGCGATGTTAAGTTCGTCAGCCACTTCTGGCGAGAGTTATGGAAGATGCTTCACACCGATTTGAAACTCAGTTCAGCTTACCATCCTCAAACGGATGGACAAACCGAAGTCGTCAATCGGACCCTTGGTAACATGCTGCGATGCTTAGTGCAGAATCATCCCAAGGCGTGGGAAGAAGCCCTCGGTCAAGCGGAGTTCGCCTTCAATTCAATGCCAAATCGGTCAACAGGTCAGTGCCCCTTTAGTATTATATATACAAAAATGCCAAACCATATTGTGGACCTTGCAGTTCTGCCCAAATGCAAAAGCTCGGCGGCCATTAAAAGCGCGGAACAATTCTCCAACATGCTCAAAGAGGTCCATAACAAGCTGACGGAAAGCAACATAAAATACAAAACTGACCGAGACAAACACAGACGGAAGGTAGAATTCGCCCCTGGAGACTTAGTCATGCTGAAGTACCGCAAAGAGCGGTTTCCGTCCGGGTCCTATCCTAAGCTCAATCCCAAGAAGTTGGGACCTTTCCCGGTGCTCCGCAAAGTGAATGACAACGCCTATATCATTGATTTACCTTCCCACATCACAACATCTTCTACCTTCAATGTGGCAGATATATTTCCCTACCATCCACCAGACGAAGCTAACACCGCTGTTAACTCATCGGAGATGAGTTCTTCTGAAGAAGGAGGGACCTGATGCGGGTAGCACCTGATATTACATAATACCTATTAAGATTTTACCTATTAGCTTTATTAGAAGACTTGTGCCAGCTCAGCCACATGGCACGACCTCTGCCGCTAACCGTTTACTGCTTTACTTTTGTTATTTTCAGTATTTTCTTTCTTAGAGTAATTTGAGATGGCTGTTATTATCTTCCCCGTTTGGCTACCAGAGGATAATAGAAAAAATTGTTATTAGCTTTTACAGCACTTGTTACTGTTCCATTGCATTGGTGTAGTTCTTTGTGCAGCTGCAGGGCAGACGGCGGCTACACCACATCTCCAACTGGAAACCCCATTTTCCACTGTAAAATACTGCAAAACTCCAAAATGTCATAATTCTGCTCCAATCAAACTCCATTTTTCTTTAGCTGTCTTTCTACATTTCGCGGACAAATCCCGTTGACACATAAACATTTAGCGGGTAAACAGTGCGACGCCTTCATTTCGCGTGTAATATTAACATCACACTGTTCATCCGTGATGAAATAGCCACAAAATTGATGCGTTAGAGCAACATAAGAACGGTGTGATTTGAGTATTTGGCATTCCATTGGAGATGATTTAAGATAACCCTCGATTCCTCTTTTTTTTTTTTTTTTTTTTTTTTTTTTTTTTTTTAGTATAGTTTCCCTAGCTTCGTCTCACAATCGTCTTCTCAATTTAGCTCTCTTCAACTTCTACAAAGCTTTCGCCTCTCGATGAAGGAAAATGTCGAACCCTTCGGAACGGTTCGACATACTCACCGCCCTACCGGAAGAACACAAGAAATTTTCTCTTCTTCACCGAAAAACTTTCTCCCCGTCATCACCTTCTGCCGCTGCATCACCTTCTTCGCCCTCTCCCTCTGCTCGGATGATTCCAGTGATTCCCTCTGCTCGGATGATTCCAGTGATTCCGAAGCCGAAGGCGGAGTAAGCCATGCCGGTTCCAGGAGGTAAGATCTACCACCAATCTGCACCGGTAAACGTGCCCATCGTGCCGCCGAGGGCTCGGAGAGGCTGGGAGGATCTTGATGGCGATTTGAGGGAAGCTGAGGATATTGAAGAAGAGGAGATTCTTCCACCTCATGAGATTGTGGCGAGGGCTGTTTGCAAGGAGTCTCCTTTGACCACTTTCTCAATGCTGTCCGGCATTAAACAGGTTTTCTAGATTGATGTAGTAGAGAGCTTGGCTCTTCGTTGTCGGAAATTTTGGAAATTGTCATGAGCTATGTGATTTTTGATAAGCAGGGATCTATTTTATTCGATTTTCTAGAATAATTTGAGAACTGCCATCTTTGTCCGAACACTACACCTTGAAAAAATTTATATTTTATATAGCTATTCTTTTTTTTTTGGGGGAAAATTCTGAAGTTTGCCATTTTATTAATCAAGAATGAAGAACAAATTAACAAAAAACACAGAAAAAACTGAAAGAAAAATGATACAAATTAAAGAAGAGATAAAATATAAAAATAGAAAAACTAGAACAATACTAGAGACAGAACTTCCAAGAATTTCACCAAGAAGATAGCGAAGATGCGCTGAACTCAGGTAGTCAAAAAGAGAATCTGTTAGGCACAACATGCAATGCTTCTTTCAAGGATTTATCATGTTCGCTTCTCTGCTTAGCCTTCAAATATTTTCAAACTCTCTGAAGGCAGACTTTTATGAGCTAACTTAAGATTAGGATACTAAGGGTTTCCTTTAAAAGATAAGGTTTCAAAGTTTTACGCAATTTTTTTACCTTAATCTCAGATCATTTATATGGTCTTTTTCATTGTGTAGGAAATGTTTGTGTTAGAATTGTCGTTTTAATACTCATTCTATGCGATTTTGTTGTGAATTGTATGACACACGCCAAAAAGCTACAAATTCAGTGATTTCTTCATTGCTTCTGAGTAAGATTTTCATTTTTATTGATATCGTTAGACACAGGGACTTTGGACATGTGTGTATTGTGGCTACACTGATCTTTCATATTAGCTAATTTATGATTGCCAATGTTCTAAGGTCTTCAATTTGCTGAAAGGCTGTTGTTGTTGTTGCTCAAGTTTTATCTGCAGCCATCAGAGGAAAATAATTTGAAAAGAAAACCATCGTGTTTACTAAGTAAATAAAACATGCTTTTAATGGTGATTATATTGGTTCAATAAAATCACCAGCTTATATCATACTGCTATTTATTTTCTTTTCATGATTTTTACATTGATTTTTATTCATAGAAATGATTATGAGTCTAAATGGCCTTTCTTATATTTGTTTTTGTCTTCTAGATTAAATGATGGAGCTATAATCATACAATAGATTTCCTTATTAGTTTCTTAGAAATAAATATCTTTCGAGTTACAAAACTATCCTTGGGAACTTTTGTACCGGCTTACCAGTGTTAGAAAATGCAGCTGCATGATATCAAGTTTATATGATGCTGGACTTTCCAACTGTAATAATGCAAGTCAAAAAGAGAATCATCGTGTTTACTAAGTAAATAAAACATGCTTTTAATGGTGATTATATTGGTTCAATAAAATCACCAGCTTATATCATACTGCTATTTATTTTCTTTTCATGATTTTTACATTGATTTTTATTCATAGAAATGATTATGAGTCTAAATGGCCTTTCTTATATTTGTTTTTGTCTTCTAGATTAAATGATGGAGCTATAATCATACAATAGATTTCCTTATTAGTTTCTAGAAATGAATATCTTTCGAGTTACAGAACTATCCTTGGGAACTTTTGTACCGGCTTACCAGTGTTAGAAAATGCAGCTGCATGATATCAAGTATATATATATGATGCTGGACTTTCCAGCTGTAATAATGCAAGTCAAAAAGAGAATTCCTTATTATTGTTGCAGATATGGAAGAATGCTAATTATCTGTATTTTTTTTCCCTTAGTATAATTAGTTTTTAGGATGTTACTTGTACTTCTATGATTTTATGCAAAAATTTTATGCAAAAAGACGGACATTCTATCATAGCATTAAGTAGGGGTGTCAATTTCGGTCGATGGGACGGGTTCGGGTCGAACCCAAGTTGACCCGGTTCTAAATGGGTCAACCTGAACCCAACCCGTTTTTGCAAACGGGCCAGCTATCTCATCCCGGATCCAACCTGTGCGAGTAGCTGGGTTGACACAAATGCCGAAGCCCGAACCCGAAGCAACACACTACCGTAGCGGCAGCGGGCAGCGTCACGACTTGCGAATAGCAAAGCGACGCAACGCGGCTTGACGCGTCGGGCAATGTGGGCAGCCGAGCAATCGACGCGGGCATCGACCATTTTCGGGTTCCGGGGTCAACCTGAACCTGACCTAATTTTTGAAACGGGTCGGTTTATTGAATATAAACCCGGCCCGTTTCATAAACGGTCGACCCAAACCCGGATTTTTCCTGGTCGGGTTTTAAGTCGTGGTCAAAAATTGACACGCCTAGCATTAAGTTCAATTTTTTGCTTAATATTGCACAGAACTTCATATTGAGAATGTTTTAATGTAATCTAGATGTTTGATATTTACTAGCTAGTCTAGATGTTATGCCTTTAGTCAAGAGTGTAAAACATCGCTGAAGAACCATGATTGATGATTACAAAATACTAAGCCCATATTATGGTTTGATTAGAAAGAAAAGAGGATGACTATGTTGATAATATATTTACTTTGTCATTGACTGAATTCTTCAAATTATACTTAAATCATTAAATCTTTTTTCATTATTTAATACTTCTTATTTTGAAGAGCTGCGCTATACTTTTCCTGGTCTGCTGTATCCTTTTATTTTATATTCAGATTTTGTAATAAACATTTTTTTGGGGTCATTTTGAAATCATTTTACTTCACTCTATTGCAAGAACTCTATCCAGAATTCTAAATGCTGCATACCTATCAGCTGCTCAACAATTTATTTGCCTCCTGTGCTTATCACTTTGCTTGTGGCTGAATTAGAGGCTAGCTTAGTGTAATTTTGCGATATCCTTAATATGATCATGAACTTTCTGCATATTGTGATCTTGTTGAGGGCAAATATGGCCACTGCAGATGATTATCATGATTTTCATCCCTAAAAGCTTATATAAGTCTGTTTGTTTTCTTTGTTCTTTTCATTTGATTTCTCCAGTTGACTATCATGCCTTATATGCTTGCTTATTACTTATGTTGATGTAGAACGAAGCTAGTCATAATTGGGGTGGGATTATTGATTTAATAGAGTTGCCAATTATGAACTCTCAATTAAGGAAATAGGAATTAAAGCCGGTCAAAAGGAGGGAAAAAGGGAAGGAGTTCTTATACATTGAATGTATCCGCATACGTTGAATGTGGATTTAAAATCAAATCCTATTTAGTTTTAGATTTGCAATAATTGGAGGGCTTTCCTAAAATAAGTTATATCACTTTGGAAAGAATTTGAATTCAAAAACCTTTCAAATTAAGAACGGAATATTTTAGGAAAGTAGTAAATCTATGAGGGAAATGAGTAGTCAGTGGCTATGGGAGATGGAGGAGAGGGAGTCGATGGAGAAGATAAACAACGAGCCCGGATGCTTCCTGCGGCTGATGTGTAAACTTTGCCCTCACCTAGGGACTTCAAACCGCGAGCCCGGATGTTTCCTGTGATTGGTAGGTAGTACGTTGCCCTCACCTCGGGACTTCCACTCTCATAAAAACTCTCAAAGCTCTTAAAAATAAAGTGCATAATTTTCTCTTAATAATCATCCATCCCCTCAAAAATAAGAGGCGGCTATAAATAGCCAAATACAATAATAAGATAAATAACAAAAGTGCCCCCTGAGTTCACATAGGCCTGCTCCCTCAAGTGAGGGTAAAAATTAAAAAATGCATAAATAAATCAAAATACAAATAATAACTCAAAATAAAGTATTTCAATCATAACCGTAGATCTTTGGATCCTCCTCTGACAAACCTTCACGGTCAGATGTCATCATCATATGTTTTTGACTTTAATGCAAAATAGCTTAAGGACAACCCATCAATTTCATACTTATCAATATCACAAAATAATGCATTATAACTTTGCAATTTTGACTAGAGGGCTTAAAAAGACAAAATAAAGAATGTTATATATGCTATTTCTGAGTCTCAAAGCATAGCACATATAATATATCCTCTTTTTTTTTGTTATGAGAGTTGGGTTTCATTTAAGATGATTTTTTTATTCCTTTTTGAAGCAAATTTTTAGTTAAAAAATTAAAATTTTTGTATTAGAAAAATGTATTAAGAAGCAGTAAGAAAGCTGTCTCAAATAAAGTCTTAGTGCATATTAAAAAAGCTATATTTGGGATCTTGCTTGAGAGAGATAAAAATAATTTTTATCAAGGCTCAAAGGCCATGCATATGAACCTGAAAATGATGAGTATGAAGAAGATTAGGATTTAGGTTAAGATAATAATGAAGACCAAACAATTTTAGTTTATTATTATTATTATTTTTGTTTAATAAGAATTTTGTAAAATAGGTGAAACTTCAATCCTGATAATTTTATTATAATAGTTTATTTTTCAATTTTATTGTCTTGCTTTATCGTTTATGTATATTAAAATAATTTTTGTCGCGTCCTAAAAATTGTAACGTCTTAGCTTTGTTTGAAGATTAAACATCCATTCAGATAAAAGATAGGGTGTTAGCATTTATGTATAATAATATGTTGTGTTTCTTTCTTTCACATATTTTATTTTCATATCTATTTTAAAATTTCATATTAATTAGCTTTGTGCATATCTTCAAGATATTCTAACAAAAAATTTGATAGCAATGGGTTTTGTATTTATTATATTTTATTTGTAATGAATATAATATAAATTTTGATTAACTAATTAGATCTTAGATTAATAACAAAGCAGATTTGGCAATTATAAAGCCTTTATTAACTAAATATGGGTTAGAATATTCTGATCTAAATTTTTTACATATTGATGTTTTTGTCATATGCCTATATTGACTCCTGTTTATTTCAGATCCTCCTAAAGTTTTTCATGAAATTACTCTGAATAAAAAATCTCATTATTATTTTCAGTACACTACCTTTTTATTGAATTTTCCTTGTCTCTCTTAAAATCAGCCTTTGCCTCTTCTATTTTAAACATAATTAAAATATTTCTTAATATGAAATTGATCAATGAATATTCTACATTTCATTAATTATGAATTCACCATCCTAAAATGACTCATTATTCAAGTACCCTAACCCTCACTATTAAGGGTGTCAATTCGGGTCAACGAGTCGGGTTCGGGTCGAACCCAGAACTGACCCGGCACTATTCGGGT